CGGGCGCCGCGGGCCCTGGGCTCGGCCCCGGGGCAGCGGGCGGAGATGGAGACGATTCGCTATACCCGATCGCGGTTTTAATCGACGAGCTCCGCAATGAGGACGTGCAGGTACTGGCGTCGGGTCGGGGAGCGAAGGCGGCCCAGCCAGGCGCGTGGGAGGGAGGCGGGAAGGCCGGCGCCGCGGTGGGGGAGGCCGGGGGATGGAAAGAGGCGGGCTCCGAGCTGAAAGTTGAAGGGGAGGAGGGGAGCGACCCTTGAGGGGCTGTGGTGCCTCGGCGCGACCTTCCCGGGGAGCTCTCCAGCACCCTTCCTCCCGACCTCCTGAGGCGTCTGCCCGGCGTCCCACCGGTCCAGGCGGTTGTGGGAGAACCGGCCTCCCGCCTGGGCGCCCTTCCAGGCCGTGCGGTGGGAGCGCCGCGTCGAGCGCTGGGCCGGCTGTCCATGTCGACGAGCGGCCGCAGGGAGGGCGGCGCGGGGCCGCGAGGGGCTGAGCAGCCTGCAGCGGCGCCAAGGGGCCCTTTGAAGTGCGGGTGAATGAATGCCTTCCTCTGGGCTTGCAAACCGGCCGGGATCGTTGGGTAGAAAGAGGGTGGGGTGGCTGATGAACCTAGAGGAGTCGGTGTGGCAGCTTTGGGCGAACTTTTCTTTGAAAAGGCGGGAGTTGTATTCAAGCGTTTCCTGCTTCACCACTGCCAGAGTTCCCTTTCTAAAATGTCTCACTCCCTGGATGTTGTATTCTCTTTCATTCATTTCTCTAATGGGGCCTTCAGAGTGTTTCTACTAGGAAATCTTCCTAATGAAGCCGTGTTACGCTGCTCCTGACGTTCCTCCTAGAATAAAATCTAAACTGAAGGTTTTCCTCATTCTTACTCGTACGCCATCTCACCTGTTGGCAACTTTTGTCTTTTGGTCTAAATCACAACTATTTCTTTACTTCGTTCTTCTTTCCACTTTCTTTTTTAAAGCTCCGTCTCAACAGTATTAAGAAGTTATCAACAATTGCTCTAGCACTTGGAGTAGAAAGGACGCGAACTGAACTGCTGCCATTCCTTACAGGTATGTGAATCTTTGTTTAAAGAAAGGCATGGGCATTTCTGTTTTCCAGTGGCTTTCAAAACTTTTAAGTATTTTTTAGCATTTGTTACCCACAGTATTATTAAGTGCTAAACTGAGCCTGATGCTTTTGGGGCAAAAGAAAACAGGACAGGGCATATTGTAATATTGTGGCCAGACATATTCAAACATTAACTGTTTAGCTAATAGTAAAGTAATTGTTGATAATGGGATTATGAATTTCTAATTCATTCTGTAAAACAGATCTAAGACGACTCTTGATTGAGAAGGAAGAAAAGACTGTTAAAGGATTGTGACAGGACCATCGAGTTACATATTAAGTCTCTTCATGTCTCTTCCTAGTTTTATGTGAGTGTCCAGTTCTGGGCCAGCTATCCTTGTTGATGAGTATTGGGTTGTTGTCATTTCCAGATACAATTTATGATGAAGATGAGGTACTGTTAGCTCTTGCAGAGCAGCTGGGAAATTTCACCGGCCTGGTGGGAGGTCCTGACTTTGCCCACTGTTTGCTGGTGAGTATATTCTGCCTGCCCTCCTTCTAGAACTTTTGCAGTATAAATGATACATTGTTTGGTGGTAGACACACTGCAGCATTTTTTTATGCAGATCTTTTTATGGATAGACGCAATGTTAGCTATTGAGAGAACAAATAATGTAGGTACTTTGGACTCAACCCTTTCTTATTTTTTCTGACTATGAATATAAGAACTTCCTCTTTTCTGCCTCTGTAGACTTATTTGTTAGTTTAGAGGTTGGGAGAAAAAGGATTTGATTGGTTTTGTTTGTTTTTTTTTCTCTTGAAATTGGAAATCTTAATTCTCATCTAGCAGTGTCATGACTTTGGAAATGTTTGTTAGCTTTTTGTCTTTGATCGTAAGCATAACGTTTGCTTCTGGCTTACTTTGTGAATTTGATGAGTTCACTTCAATTTAGTTGACATTTATTGAGAGCCTACTATATCAGGCACTGAAGTTACAGTGTTAATGTTAAAGAAGACTAATGTGAATGGAATGAGGTCTCTGTCCATATGTGTCAACAAATAATTACGTACAGTGTTAGATGGAAAAATGGAAGCACATACAAGGTACTCAAGTAATAGAGAAGAGAAAGAGTTAACCTAGGGTGATCAGGGATGACCTCATGGGAGATGATGTCTGAACTAGGTTTTGAAGGATGACTAGGAATTTCGATAGTTGCAGAAGATAGGCATGTATGCTTCAGGGCTTAAATACTGTGTATATCATGCTGACTCTTGTGATTTCTATCTCTACCTTTCCATGGAACTTCAGATATAGCTATAGAAAGAGAGATATAGATATCTATCTGTTGTCTCTATATATCTGCCTATGATTTTTCCACTAGGATGTCAAACAGACATTTCAAATTTAACATGCCTAAAACAGATCTCAATTTTCTTCCCAAAATTATGCCTTTCATTTAGTTGTCCCATCTCAGTAAATGGCATCACCGTCTACCCAGTTGCACAAGCCAAAACCTAGAAGACATTCTTGAATCTTCCTTCCCTCATTTCCCACATCTAATCCATTAGTAACTTCTACAGATTCTATATACATTCCAAATCAGTCCACTTTCCTCCATCCCTACTATTAGCTGGCTCATCTTTCCTCTAGTCTTTCCAGGCCACATGATCTTTCCTCTAGATTACTACAGTAACTTCCTAACTAGTTGCTTTCCCCTCTTGCCTCCCACCTCACCCCTACAGTTCACTCTTCACTCAGCAGATGGATCACTCCCTGCCATGGCTCTTAGAAAATCCACATTTCTGCCTTAGTTTGTATCTTAGTTTACAAAACCTGCCTCTGTGAGCTTATCTCATATCGTGTTCCCTCTTGATAACCTCATTCCATTCACAGTGATCGTCTTTCTGTTCTTTGAATAAACCAAGCTTATTATTGCCTTAAGACTTTTGCCCTAGGTATTGCCTCTAATAAAATGTTCTTTTGAGCTTCTTATGGCTGGCTCCTTGTCATTCAGATATCAACTTCAGTGCATCCTCTCAGAAAGGCCTTCCCTGACCACCCAACCTGAGATTGTCTCCCAGTCACCCCTTATCACATCGTTCTATTCTGTTTCTTTACAGAGTACTCATCACCATCTAATTGTTTTCTTGATTAGTTGTTGTTCCTCTATTAGAATACGAACTCCACTGGAGCTAGGAACCGTCTGTCTTGTTTCTTCTCTGTCCTCAGTGCTAAAATACAACAGTACTCATTTACTGAAAGAATGAGTTGCAGAGGCTTGGAAGCCCGAAACAGGTTGTGTTGCTGGAGTATAGTGTTGGGCTGGAGTAGGCAGGAGTGGTGGTTGGGGGCAGTAGGAAAAGAGCATGGAGAAATAGGCAGAGTTCAAACCAAGAGACAACCTGTATGTGATTCTCAGGAGCTTGGCCTTGTCCTGTGTAGTGATAGAGATTATCCAAGGATACTGCATGAGAGGAGGTCAGAGAAGGTGGGGCAAACATGAAAAGCCTTTACAAGGAGGAAAGCAGTATTTTTTCAAAGGGCTTCTGAAATACCTCTTAGGAAAGCTGAGTACTTTCTACCTCTGTATAGCAAACCATTTTCAAAATGCATGTTAGGTAGACATGCTTCTTTCCTTTGACTAATTATAATTCTGTTTCACTCTCTTGGTCAGTTCTACGTATGGGTTTTGTATTTAGCGTTTGCAGCTCGTGGCGTATGCTGAATCTACCTAGTCCAAATGCAAACCCAGAAAGGCAGAGGTTCGGAGAACCTCTTTTGCTTTTCGCTGGGCTGTGTCGTATTCACTTACTGATCCTAGTCCAGACCAATCCCTTTGGTCTCTTCTCTTTCCAAAGCTGCAAGCAAGGATTCCTACCATCTCTGTGCTCTTCACTTAATTGTTCTGTAAGAAACTCCTGCTTTATATCTGGCTCATGGAAAGATTCTGGATGTATTCTGAAAAAAATGATTTGTACTTAACCTTTTATAGGTTGAATAAGTTGACAGTCTGGAGCTAGAGGACAGGGGTTGCTTCCACCTCCAGGAATGGTAGAATAATACTCCAAAGGCTGTGGACTCTGGCCTAATGAGATGTCATCCTGTATTTGTGGAGCCCAGCGTTGCTCATGTTTTTGCATTTACTCTTGAGGAAATATACATGATCCTGTCTGAATTTGGCTACATATCTTTTAAACCTAGTGATTCAGCTCACAATAATATTAATATTGTGTCAAGTCTCTTCCACTGTGTCATTTGTAGACACCATCTGGGAATTGCCATCTGGGACATGAGATCTTGGCTGTCCTACAGAAATCGTGTCTTCAGGTTGGACACACCATATGTTATCACTGTGTGAACCGAAAGTAACCATTTGGTGTGATGTAGCTAACATTCTGGTTAGATGTACCACCTCCTTTCAGTCACTTTCAAAAGGTGATAATCTTTATCTAACCTAATTCAGTAAATTTTCTTCTCTGGTTTTCTTGTTGGTCTATTCAGCCTCCTTTGGAAAGTCTGGCAACCGTGGAAGAGACTGTGGTTCGAGACAAGGCAGTGGAGTCTCTGAGGCAGATCTCCCAGGAGCATACTCCTGTTGCTCTGGAAGCCCACTTTGTACCTCTGGTGAAACGCCTAGCGAGTGGGGATTGGTTCACTTCTCGAACATCTGCGTGTGGTTTGTTCAGCGTTTGCTATCCCAGGGCTTCAAATGCTCTCAAAGCAGAAATTAGACAGTAAGATACGGTATTTTTTTTTAGTTATTTGGGGTTATTGGGAACTTATAGCTGATGATTTACACAGTACCCTGTTACCAGTGAGTGGCTGATAGCAGGATAGTAGGATTAATGACATCACTTTTTATTGTCCAGTTGAATATACTAGTGGTTTTATCTTTGTCACTTTTATGTAGAAGACTAATCACTGATGTTTGTAAGAGAAAAACCTCTAAAATGTCTTCGTGCACGCGTGTGTGTCTGTTGGGGGGTGTTTAATCAATGGTATTTGACAGGAAATACTTTTCTTATTTTATTTGCTCCAGACACTTTCGTTCCCTGTGCTCAGATGACACACCAATGGTACGACGTGCAGCTGCTTCCAAATTGGGCGAATTTGCAAAAGTTTTGGAATTAGACAGTGTGAAAAGTGAAATTGTTCCATTGTTTGCTAATCTGGCTTCAGATGAACAGGTAAGTTAACTTTTAGTATGTAAGGTACACAGATATGCTCCTCTCCTTTAACATTTTAAGATTTTTTTTGGGAGTTTTGGTTCTCATGTCAGGATCCTTTTTGCAACATTAATACTTATTCTGGCCTACGTAAAGTTTAATATGACCCATCTCAGTGTCCTTATAATTCTTTCTTAACCAGACTATGATTTTCTTTTATGTTAGGAGCTATTAAAAGGAGGAGGAGTCAAAGAGAAAAGGAGGGGGAATCAAAGAGGAAATGGGAGCCGTAATTAGAAAGGAAGACCAAAGCTGCATTAAGGGGTTTCATACCTTTGGGCATTGCAGGCTGGGATGTCATTTAGCAGAGTAATGTTTCTTGGCATTTTTGACTTTCAGATAAACAAGCATAGCATGGTTAGGAAAGCTGTTTGCCTAGCCTCTGCATTCTCTATATGAGTGTTTAGCGTGACTTTGCATAATAGCAATTTTAAATCCAAGGATCTAGATCTCTTTGGTATAGAAATAACAAGAATAACAATAGCAAGCACCTAAATAAAGTACTTAATTTTTCTTAATCTGTTTTAAGTGGTTTACATATATGAAGTAATTCGGTCCTCATAATAGCCCCATGAGGTAGATACCCCATGTTATATGTTAGGAAACAGAGGCACAGGAAATTGAAGTCACTTGCTCAAGGCTGCATAGTTAGCAGTGTTGGAAGTGGGATTTGAATCTAGGCACTGTGGTTCCAGAGTTCACGGCCTTCACCGCTAGGCTGTACTACCTTTGTGTGGTGCTTCAGAGGATCAACCCCCAGAGCTCCTGAACACTAGAAGAGTCCTTTCAGGTTTTTAATTGCCTAGCAGCTGTACTAGAATCACTACATGTGTGTGTGCAGGACTAAGGGTACCAGACACATACTGATGAGTCTCCTTTTCAGATTCTAAATCTAAAGATGGCAAATCTTACTTTCAAAATAATTTTAAAAATTTATTAAAATAACATATAGAAAACACAAAATGTATATATAACTTAATGAATTATCATAAGGTGATGTCATTTTGTAACTATCACCTATGAAAGGAGACAGAACTTGAACAGCCACTATACCCCATGAGCCCTCCATGGGCTCCCTCCCAAACACACCCTCCCCCTTTCACTCTCTGTTCCTCACTCCCCACCCGCTTAAGACTAGCACTTTATCTTGACTTTTATGGGAACCACCTCCTTACTTCTCTTTGCACTTTTTTTTTTTTTTTTTTGTGAGGAGGACCAGCCCTAAACTAACATCCAGTGCCAGTCCTCCTCTTTTTTGCTGAGGATGACTGGCCCTGGGCTAACATCTGTGCCCATGCTCCTCTACTTTACATGGGACGCTGCCACAGCATGGCTTGCCAAGTGGTTCCTCGGTGCGCACCCGGGATCTGAACCGGTGAACCCTGGGCCGCTGCAGCGGAGCGCGCGCACTAAACCACTTGCGCCACTGGGCCAGCCCCCTCTTTGCACTTTTATTGCTCAAACATTATGGGTTAAAACAGCACTGTCCAGGGAGCTGGCCCCCTGGCTTAGCAGTTAAGTGTGCGCGCTCCGCTACTGGCGGCCCGGGTTTGGATCCCAGATGCGCACCGACGCACCGCTTGTCCGGCCATGCTGAGTTGGCGTCCCACATAGAGCAACTAGAAGGATTTGCTACTATGACGTACAACTATCTACTGGGGCTTTGGTGAGAAAAAGGGAAAAAAAGGAGGAGGATTGGCAATAGATGTTAGCTCAGGGCTGCTCTTCCTCAGCAAAAAGAGGATTGGCATGGATGTTAGCTCAGGGCTGATCTTCCTCACAAAAAAAAACCCAAAAAACAGCACTGTCCAACAGAAATAGAATGTAAGCTACCTATTAATTTTAAGTTTCTAGTAGCCACATTTTCAAAAGTAAAAACAGGTGAAATTAATTTTAATAATATATTTTATTTAACTTAATATATCCAGAATAATTATCATTAGAACATGCAGCACTAGCCACATTTCAAGTACTCAGAAGCCACAATGGATAGTGGTCACCACACTGGACAGCATAAGTTTAGAATCCTTATTTGGGATTTTCTTGATTACATTTTCCATGGTATAATTTAACATTTTCTTTTGTCCTCTGTATTTCTTACACATTGGTAGTTGAATCTTGAGTCGGGGGGGTGGTGGGTAGGGGTTTGCAAATGTTTTCTGTCAAGGGCCAGATAGTGAATATTTTAGGCTTTATGGGCCAGACGGTTTCTGTTGTAGCTACTCAGCTCTGCTGTTGTAGCACGAACGCACTATAATAAGTAAACTAACAGGCATGGCGGTGTTTCAATAAAACTTCATTTACAAAAACTGACCATGTCCTGGATTTGGCCAGTGTTTGCCCCACCCCTGATTTAGAGGCTTCATAAGATTTAGGTTTGATATTTTTGGGGCAATAAGATCACTCATAGGTGGAGGTGTACTTTTTATCAAGAGGCATGTAATATCTAGTTGTGGTATTAGAAGCAGTTGATACTCAAAAAAATATTAAGTGCTTAGTTGTAAAATACATGTGTGTGTATTCCCTCTGACCACTGATAGAATTGCTGCTCCTGGCTTATTCATTCATTGGAGAAGTATTTATCGAGCACCTACTACACTGTTCTAGTGCTGGGATACAGTGTTAAACAAGTCATATAAGGACCCTGTTGTCTCATGGAGTTTACATTTTAATGAAGGAAAACAGATAAATCAGCAAAATATCAGGGATAAATGCTATGATGAAAATAGAGTAGGGTGACGTAATGGAGTGATTACAGGGCATTCCTCTAGACGGGCTAGTCAGAAGAGGACTTTGAAGAGGTGACATAAACTGAGACACAAAAGAAAAATACTGGCTATGCCCTTTCCTAGAGTGTCAGAGCTCCAGGAAAAGAGAATCCCGGGAACAAAGGACACCTAGTGTAAAGGCTGTAACGTTGGAACATAGTAGGTGAAAGGCACTGATAAGACACGAGGTAGAAGATAAGCAGGGGCCGGACCATGGAGGGCCTGTAAGCCAGGGTATAGAGTTTGGATTTTCTTTTCTAGGTGCAGTGGGAATACACCTAGATTTTAAGCAGGGGTGTGACTTGATATAATTTATATTTTTAAAAGATTCTGGGTGGACACTACAGTTATGTGTCACTTAACGTCAGGGATACGTTCTGAGAAACGCATTGTTAGGTGATTTAGTTGTTGTGCAAACATCATAGAGTGTACTTACACAAACCTACAGTGGTATAGCCTACAACACACCTAGGCTATTTGGTATGGGACCATCATACATGTGTTCTCTTGTTGACTGAAACGTTATTATGTGGCACATGATTGTAAATTGTAAGGTAGAGAGTGAGAGTAAAAACAAGAAGACCAGTTAGGAAGCTTTTGTAGTAATCCAGGCAAGAGATGATGGTGAACTAGGGTGGTATAGTGAAGATGGAGGGAATGTGGAGATAGGTTTGGAGTTAGAAGTCAGTAGAACTACAATTGGATTGGATGAAGGGAAGAGGAATCAAGGAGATCTTGATTTTTGGCTTGAGCAGCTGGGTGGATGGTGGTGTCATTGCTGAGACAGAGAAGATTCTGGGAGGAGGAGCAGGTGTAGGGGAGAAAAGCAGGAGTTCTGGAAGAGAAGTAATTTTTGTGTGTGTGTGTGTGTGTGAAGGAGCTCAGCCCTGAGCTAACATCCATGCCAATCCTCCTCTTTTTTTTTTTTTTTTTTTTTTTGCTGAGGAAGATTGGCCCTGGGCTAACATCTGTGCCCATCTTCCTCCACTTTTTTTTTTTATATGGGACACTGCCACAGCATGGCCTGACAAGCGGTGCATAGGTGCGCACCCAGGATCCAAACCCTGGGCCACCAGCAGCAGAGCATGCGCGCTTAACTGCTATGCCATGGGGCTGGCCCCCAGGAAGAGAAGTAATTGATTAACAAATATTTATTGGTATCTATTTCCATAGATGATAGTAGTCCCTTGATTTAGCATCATTTTTGGAATCCAAAAGTATCTGTATAGCCACTACCAAGAACGTAGTAATGCCTTTTTCAGCCTGTTCATTTGGATAGAGGGGTGTGTCTTGGGCATATAGTAAGGTATTGTTGATCTACAAGTTTTTAAATTTGTAATATTGTGGAAAGGTGGAGTCGCTGTTATCTCTCTGTTGTCTGTGTGTGTATATATATATATATATGCACAAACACACATACACTTAAAATTTTTGTCCTCTTTCTCCTGGGTACTCATATGTATACATATTTTCTGTTTGTACGTATTTATGATTTCCAAATCTATAGTCTCAATTCCTAATTTCTCATTGATTGTCTAATTTTATTTTCCACTTGCTCAGAGGACATGTAGGATCCCACTGACACTGGCAGTTTACATTTGGAAAGCTGAATTCATTAATCTCATACATTTCTAATTTTTTCTGCTCTGTTTTTCTAGGCTTGGCTACTTCAAAGTTATTCTGTACTTGATCCTCAACATTGAAATCCAACTTTTTTTGTTATTATTATTACTAACAAAATCTTTTAATTTGTTTTTCTGTGTATTTCTTTCCAAGTCATCATCTTATGCCTAAACTCGTATTGCTGTTCCCCCAAACTGAGCATTTTGAAAACAGCTTCCTAAGTGATTCCCTTACCCTTATTCTCTTTCTCTGTTTTGATCTGTTATAAACAACTTGTACAAGCATAGTTTTCTTTTTTATCCCACAACTTATTACAGTGAGGTTTTGACGACATCATTAAAATGTTCTCTTTTGTTCCTTTATCTTTACATTTGCATTTCATCTTCCTTAATAAAAACTGCACTCTAGCCAACGTAATTACTTTGCTGTTCACTTTCAGAACAAAGTCGTTTTGTACCTTTATGGCTTTCACATGCCATTTGAGGCAACGGGAGCAGCTATTTCAAGACATAAAGACATGAAACTGCATATAGTGTAGTTGTTGCTGTTTTTAAACGACACCCACAGCACGGGCCCACACCACACACACTGCCCCATGGCGCTCAGTAAATATTGTCTGACTAACAGAGAGAAATTTTCTTCCTTTAGGATTCAGTGCGTCTCCTAGCTGTGGAAGCCTGTGTCAGTATTGCCCAGTTACTCTCTCAGGATGACCTTGAGGCTTTGGTGATGCCTACCCTTCGACAAGCAGCGGAAGATAAATCTTGGCGAGTTCGCTATATGGTAGCTGACAAATTTTCAGAGGTAAAATTATTGCACTGATACTTTCTAAAGAAAGAAAACACAAAAACCCACAGATTTGTTTTTGTGCCAAAAGTTTTTGAATTAATTCTTCTGAATTGGAAGTGCTTGTGGCTAGAACATATACATGAAGATTACACTGTTTTGTTTTGTTCACATTAATTATTTTGTTAGCATACATCAAAACCTGTACGAATTCTTTTATAGCTCCAGAAAGCTGTGGGTCCTAAAATCACCCTAAATGACCTCATCCCCGCCTTTCAGAACCTACTTAAAGACTGTGAAGCTGAAGTCCGAGCAGCTGCTGCCCACAAAGTCAAAGGTTAGGGAGTTCAGTTGATGTTGCAGCATGTCATTCATTTTGGTGCATTTTTTATGTCAGTGAATTTTGCATGTTTTTTGTTATAGAATATGTTTTCAAATACGTAGAAATTATTTCAATGTGTAAAAATGTTACATTGTCATATAAAGCTCCTCCCTTTATATTTAAAACCAAACAGCCATTTTATCCTGTTTCTGTAAAAAGTAAAAAATAAAAAAAAAGTCTTTTCAGATTGGATTGGTGTGATACACAATGGCATATAGATTGACGAAAAAGTACACTTAGAGTAAGAGCCATTTGTCGTCCTTGGAGCTTATTTTGTTAAACGTATGATTTGATTTAACTTGAAGCTGTTGATAAACCTGGTTAAATTTCTTTATTTGGCTTCTTGTAAATGGCTCTATGTAAGCACTATTTTTTTCTATTTATCTCTTTTAGAACTTTGTGAGAACTTGCCCAGTGAAGGTAGAGAGACCATAATTATGAATCAAATTCTGCCCTATATAAAGGTAAGCCTAACTTTAGTTTATATTTTGTTTCACTCTGCCCTATATGAAGGTAAATCTTACCTCAATTTTTTGTTTGTTTACCTTAAAGCTCTTTGAGTTTAAATGTGGACAAGAGATGAATGGGACAGATATGTTAATGTGTGCCATTGTTATTTATCACTTATTAGTGCTTTATAATTGTAAAATACTCTTTGGTGCATAGGTTTATGTCATCTGACTTAATGGTCTGAGGAAACATCAACTAATCAATATTGAATTAATACTGTCTTTTTAAATGCCTTGGGAAATGGTATGGAAGTTTCTGTTGTCTTGCAAAAAAGAAAGACGTTTAATTTTGATTTTATTTTAGGAATTAGTATCTGATACAAATCAACATGTCAAATCAGCTCTAGCTTCTGTAATTATGGGATTGTCTACCATTTTGGGCAAAGAGAATACCATTGAACATCTTCTACCTCTTTTTTTAGCTCAGTTAAAGGATGAGGTGAGTCTGGCTGTAAATTCTGTTGTCTTTGATAGTCAGTGATTTGGTTTGGTTTTGGTTTGGGGTTTCACTAAAATAGAACACAAAATAGGGATGAAGGGATTTTAAAAAGTAACTTATTTTAAACCAATGACAGTCCTTGTGTTTGGGTGTGAGATTACAAGTCCCCAGAAAATGGGCACAAGGAACCATTCTTATAGACTTAAAAATATCTGTTCATCCTCTCTGCCTGATTTCTGCTTACATGCGCTGGTTTCTTCTCTTCAAACTTCATGTATCTTTGTTTAAAAAGTTTCTTTCATTTAATTTTAAATATAATAATATCAAAATTATAACGATAACTAACATTTATTGAGTAATACTGTGTGCCAGGCACGTTCATAAATGCTTTGCATGTATTGTTACATGTAATCCTCACAACGATCTTAGGAGGTGGGTCTTATTATCCCCATTTTACAGATGAAGAAGCTGAGGCGCAGAGATAAAATAACTCACTCAAGGTCTCAGCAATGGCAGATCTGGGATTTGAATGCATGTAATTTGATTCCAGAGCCTGTTCTCTTTACTGTCCTGTAGACTTTTCATGGAAAATTCTGGTTAAGATCAGTTACATTTGTGTGCTTTGAATTATTTGTGTACTCAGTTTTAAGTATTTCTTCCAAGACTATAGTTTTTTTCACCTGAGTGAATACTTCCTTATTTTAAAATTTATTTAGCAATTTTTACCTCATCTTGACAATAGGAGAATATAGGTCAAAGAACTTGATTTTTATGTGTTCTTTTGGGGCTTGTGTACTTGCAGTGTCCTGAAGTTCGTTTGAATATCATCTCCAATTTGGATTGTGTAAATGAAGTGATTGGAATCCGTCAGCTCTCTCAGTCTCTCCTTCCTGCCATAGTGGAGCTGGCTGAAGATGCCAAGTGGAGGGTCCGGCTGGCCATTATTGAGTATATGCCACTGCTGGCGGGCCAGCTGGTGAGTATGTGTGCTCCATAAACTGAAGGATAGCATCAAATAATGGAGCAGATTTACCATGGCAAGTAGGAGGCCCAGGTAGCTCTTATGATTGTGTTCATTTAGACACGTGAAAGTATGGTCTGTCCTAGTTGCTGGTGGGATGGTTTTTATTTTCATTAGTGCATTAACTTCTAATAAAAAGGTACTATAGAAAGACTTTTCACCTCATTACCACCTAAAAGCAAAGCCATAGAAGAATATAATCAGTTTCTTGATATATGTAACATGGATTACAGAATAGTTAACTGAGAGGAAGAGAGAGTATGGTTTAGAGATAGGTCAGCTTTGATTTTTGCTCACGGCAGCTTCCCTGTTTGCCTGTATTCTGAGCAAAATGTCCCTAGTTACCACTTTTCCTACATAGTGGTTAGAGGGAGTTGAGGAATCACCCTATAAAAAAGCAGTATTAAAGAGGAATCACCCTATAAAAAAGCAGTATTAAAGTTTGTAATGCTAGGATTTTGGCCAAAGTCCACATTATCACATTATCTGTTACTGTTTGAGTTTCATGATTAGTTTTACTCTAGCTAATACCATGTTAATTAAAATTTCAATGCTGGATTTTATAGCCACATCTTTTCCTTTCTTTTTCTGTAGGTGTCCTAGACAGTTCTAAGTCTGATATCCCCTCACCCTGTTGGTAGCACTTATTACAGTGTATTGTAACCGTCTGTTAACATCTAGTTGGCGAGATAGACAAGTGATCTTTTAGGGCAGGGCCTGTGTTCATTGTTGTATTTCTAGAGCCTGCATAGTGCCTGGCATTGTGCAGGCACTTCACATTTGTTGATTGTTGAGTAAATGGCTACCTGAATATTTGTTGAGAAAGCTCATAATATCATGTCAGTTTACAGCTCACGTTACTCAGTTTTGTTTCCCCACTCTTTCGCCCCCGCTTCCATTCCTTTCAGATCCCAGCATGTGGGATTTATTTTTTTCTTTTCTTGGACCACTGAATTTGTATTGCTAATTTTGGTATATAAAGTTTATGAAGTGCGGCTTGTGCATGTTGGTGGCATCATATATTTTATAAAATTTGAAGTGTCCCATTCTTCAAAATGGATGCCAGAGATATCAGTATATAGCTAATAGGGTCAGGTGAAGTGATCTTGTCACCTTTCTTTCCTCCGTCACTCCCAAGTACTAAGTCTTCTTTTGTTCTTCACTGGTGACTGTCATGGATCACTCTCCAGAGTGGAAAGCAGCAGTGGCTAACTGGTTTGCTAAAGACTGGAACAACTGCCCAGAGGAGAGGGTGAATTTTAGTACCATTTCTTTTAACCTCTGCTATTCCTAGACTTGGAAAGGCTGCAAAGGTTGGTAGCTCTATGGAGGAGTATGGAAGCAAGGCAGATGATGACTTTGGCTAACTCGTATTTGTCTAGCAGGGGTGACATGCATCAGTCATGAACATTTTGTGATACAGCTTCAACTTCTTGTTAGTATTATATATTTTATCATAATTTTTTTTGTCTGTAAAGATTTTTATATTAGGTAGTCAATATATAAAATTCTTTCAAGACTTTATGTATGGCCTGACTTATGGACCATGGTAAGTAAATGTAAAGTTAAACCACAAAAATCAGGAAATAAAAGTTAACTAAGACTCAAGAAAAATCCACAACCTGAAATGAAAAAGAAATCTTTGAGAGTTGATGTGGTAATCAATATGCTAAAACCAGTTGATGATATATTATTATAAAGCTGTTTTATCTTATTAAATAAATCACTGTTTTCAAAATACTGAAACTATATTACATCTCTTTATTTAAAATATATAATCACTGGTCAGAAACTTCTTAGTATCCAAAGAAGCAAATGACTATAAACATGTAGACCTCAAAAGGGAGGCACTAGGAAAGCATATATCACAGCATTCTCCCACATGGTACAAAATCCCACAGAGACAGGTCTGTGTAAATCAGCGCCAGGAGCCTGTTCCCAGCCTGTGCTGGAGTGGCCACCCGTTGACAGGAAGAGCAGAGCTCGGAGAGCCAGGACGGTTTCCCCGTAACTCTGTGCTAGGGCCACTTCACCGGTACTCTTGTGCCTGCTTTATTCTCCCTCCTCTGCTTTCTCCCATCCCAGAAATACTGTCTTTAATTGGGAGTATCACTATTTCTTAATGTCAGTTTCTTCATCTTTAAGGATATATTATGATATTAACCAAAAAGGGAAAAAATTAGAAAATTAATATTATTGACAGGTATTTTCTTGGGTAATTCATTTTTACAAATAATCTAGAGATTGCTTGGCAGACTGTCCACACTGCATTCTTCCTACTCATCTGCAGTACGGTGTCTGGCTCCTGGCCACCCTATTCTCTTCCACTTAGCAGGGCCTGGGCCATCTCACTTACGCTTTTCTTTGAGATTTCTATCCAATAAAATAGATTTATAGTTGTAAATCAGATCCCATGGTATTCCTTTTCTGGCTGGTTCATGAATTCAGCTTATTTGGAAATCAAAGTTTTTTTAGCTTTCAGATCACTTTGGTGTAATATAAATAGACCATCTTGATTTCTAAACTTTGGCGATGTATATGAATGGAATCTTCTATATCCATAGGGTGTGGAATTCTTTGATGAAAAGCTGAATTCTTTATGTATGGCCTGGCTTGTGGACCATGGTAAGTAAATAAATTAAAAACAGATTATTAATGGAAGGCTCATGTTTTTGCATATATCTCATTTTGTTCTTATATTTTCTTTTTAGAAAGGAATCCTAATCTGATCAGATATTTTGCCTTACCAATGTAGGGATGAAGAAAGGCTTTGATTAAGGTCCAGTTAGCTTCCTCTGAACACAAATTTGACATTTCTATTTTTTTCAATCTTAAATTTTATTTTCTCCATTAAACAATCTCTGCCTTGTTTCTTACTCATTCTATTACATTATTTTCAGACTATCTCTTTTATATGTATACCTGTTCCTTTCTTATCCCAAGTTCTTTTGGTCGACCATGATGTCACTGGTGTCTTCAGCCACTATAGACTGGGTTGGACAGGGGTTGGAATCAGATGAAAGGCCTAGGGGGACAAAATGGCTACTTGGGTTCTTTGAGGTGACATAGAGAAAGAGGTATACATTGGTACAGTAAAGGAGTCTAGGAGTGGAAGACGTCAGCTGTACCCTAGGACAGAGAGTGCCCAGATTTCTGGTTATGGTGAAAGGCAGGGTTACTGCCCACACCCTGGCTGCTGCTGCCTTCACGCTAGGAGAGGGCGAGCTGCGAGCTCAGGGCAGGGTCAGATGGGACAGAGTTTAGAAAGTAGGTTTTTAAAATATTTTATTTTCTCTTTGCATTTATGACATAATTCACTTCAACAATCACAGAATCTTTTTCTTCCAGTGCCACAGTGTTACAAATGAAAGCTGGTACTGCTGCTTATCAAAAATATAAGACAATTGATGTTTTATATAAAACCACTTCATATGTTAACTTGTTAGCAGTTATGTGTTTTTTTTTGTTTTTTGGTTTTTGTTTTTTTGGTGAGGAAGATTAGCCCTGAGCTAACATCCGATGCCAATCCTCCTCTTTTTGCTGAGGACTATTGGCCCCGGGCTAACATCCGTGCCCATCGTCCTCAACTTTATATGGCACGCTGCCACAGCATGGCTTGACAAGTGGTACATTGGTGTGCGCCTGGGTTCGAACCTGTGAACCCCAGGCCGCCGAAGCGGAGCGAGCGCACTTAACTGCTACACCACCCGGTCGGCCTGTAGTTACGTGTTTGACGAGGTCTCAGGTCTCTGTATCTCCTCTTGTCTGTCAGGCACTGATGGGTGGGAGGAGTACCCTCTGGACCAGTGAGGTCCAGTGCCAGGCCCCATGGCCAGAGCTGGCAGCTTCAATGTAGTCTGAGGCCTGTTCAGATGAGGGCCCTGGGGGCTTATCACATGATGTTCTTTGAGCTTCAGTTCCATATTTTGGTCAATATGATAGGCATCTTGTTTCAGTTCCAAGGCGTCTTACATATACTTTATGTATTGAGTGTATCTCTGTTCATCTGGGTGCTTATGCCTGGATATTTGGGAGGAGTGGGGATATTTGTGTCTGCTTGTACACATAGGTAGTTTTGTTAAGGGCATATTTGGATCATATAGTTAAGAATGTGAAGAGGGGTGTGAAAAAATGTGCAAATCTTGTAAAGATATATAGATAATGTCAGTGTTTTCAAACTAGATTGTGAAGACTTTCTTTTTTTCTTGTCCTCTAAAGTTACCTTTTATGGCCTAATTTTTTTTTCTTTTTAAATAAAACTTAAGTTTGGCAAGAAAAGAGGAAAGAAATTCCTCTTTTTTTAGAAAAAAAGTGTTTATAGGGGCCGGCCCCGTGGTGTAGTGGTTAAGTGTGCGCACTCCACTACTGGCGGCCTGGGTTTGGATCCCGGGCGCGCACCGACGCACCGCTTGTCCGGCCATGCTGAGGCCACGTCCCACATACAGCAACTAGAAGGATGTGCAACCATGACATACAACTATCTGCTGGGGCTTTGGGGAGAAAAAGGGAAAAAAAAAAAAAGGAGGAGGATTGGCAATAGATGTTAGCTCAGAGCCAGTCTTCCTCAGCAAAAAAAGAGGAGGATTGGCATGGATGTTAGCTCAGGGCTGATCTTCCTTACCAAAAAAAAAGCTGTTTATATTATTTCTGATGCATATTTAATATTAGTGGGAATGACATGTCCCAGCAGATCATTCTGTACTTTGTTGGAAAGCTGGGATTCTAGATTTATTTTCAGGAACTTGTAAAGTTCTGATGTTCCACGAAGAATTAAATTCCTGACATCCTTTCTATGTAGGATTGCTCTGTCTATGCAAGTTCTTCCTCTTTTCTCTGATTTTTTTTCTTCCAATTTGGGAGCAAGAGAGACCCTTGTTTCTTTTTCTGCAACAGCATACTGAAGTGGGCATTGCGAGCATTCTTTGAACCAATGAAATGTCACCTCTGAAATTGTTCCATACTCATGAGGGTTTTTTGTTGTTTTGTTTTGTTTTTGCATTCTGGATAACTGCTATGTAGAGATCACTGATCAATTAAATTTTTTGAAACTTTTTTCCTAGTTATTAAACTACTAAAAGAATATTGTGAAAAATCTCGAGAAGTATAAAGAAGAAAGTATCACTCACCCCTCTTCCCATGGTTGAGCAGATGGTATTGATCAAAGGGAGGAATTTAGAAGGAGAATTTATTTTTTATAGGAGAAAGGAAAAAGTACCAAAGTTAGTGAGCACACAGAGTATGTTAGACATTCAGAGGAACCTTGCAAGTCAGCCAGACCTTGAGCGGAGAAGGAAAGAGGGAAAGAGACAAAACAAGGAAAGAAAACAGGCAGAACTGTGGAATGGTTTGCATTCTTTGGCAGCAAAATTGAGAGGAGCCAAGAACATAGTAGGCATCTGGCCAAGTAGAGTGGAGTGCAGTTAAGGCTTGGGTTAAGGCGGAGCAAGTGTGTGCTCCGTCTCTGGTTACTCTGGCAGTGAGATCCCTTCCTATGATAATGGCATTAGGATGAGAAAAATCTCAAGCAAATTAACAAAGAGAATTAGAGGAGAAGACACATAAGTTCTAGCTAGCTCCACTTTAGGGGGAGGAAGTGGGGAGGAGATTGTGCCAAAGACAAAGATCATGAATGTGAAGGGAGGAAATTTGTATTATGGGTAAAACAGTTGACTTGAGCTTGCTTCTTAGAGAGTGCTGCTGGATATTGCTGACAGGATGCTTCTGTAGACTTTGGTCACCTTGCGTGTTGGTAATAAGTTATATAGTTCCTTGACCATACTATTTTGCTGTTCTCATCAGTGGCACTGCCCAAAAGGATCTATGAAGTGGAAAGAGTTGGGTATTTCCTGTCCGGAAGCCTTGTATAAATTGTCCAGAATCAGGGCTGTGGCTTGGATAGCTTTTCTTGCCCATCCTATCACCTAGGAATGTGGGGCCTACCTGGTGAGAGGAGTAAAATAAGAAATCAGTACCCACTACCCAGATTTATTACCTAAGCCCAAATTTTGAGTCATGTTGGGCGTGTGAATACAGGCCTGTCTTTGATCAGTGCTCTATATATCAACTAGTTGTTGAGAAGATAGTAACTCAGGCCTTTACTATCCAGATTTATGATGTCTTTGATAAATGATCTTATAGGGAATTATTAGATGTTAAAGCAGGCACATTTATTCACAGAGGACATTTGACATGTTTTCTCAACAAACATTTTTAAGGGAAAAGAGGCAAGTTGGTCTGAAGTTTTTATTTGGTATTGTGTAGATGACCACAGTGACCTCTGAACGAGCTCCTCGCTGTCTGTCTCTTCTCAGCTGTTCTTGCCGCTGCTAGAATAATCTTGCTAAAATACCACGTTGGTCATTGGGTCACAACTTTGCTTTAAAAACCCGTCAGTGTTTTTCTTACAAAGTCTAACTTTAGCTTTCAAGATGCTCTGTGTTCCTGATCTACCCTGACTGTCCAACCTCGCAGTCCCACGGGTTTCAGTTTTCTCCTTTGGGTGTTAGGTAAATTTTTTTGCCCTTTCCAGGAATTCCGCTCTTCTCTCTACTTACACAAATTCTCCCTAATCTTTGAGGCCCAGTACAAGTCCTCTCTTTCCTGAAGCCTTCCCGGACCTCCGTTATTGTCTCTTCTCTAAACTCCTAAAATTGTTCTTTACTACACAATTTCCTACTTCACGATAAGGAGTCTTGTACCATGTGACTTGTTGGAGTGCATCAGCTTTCATTTCTCTGATAAAGTGTATGATCTTTGAGGGGAAGTATCTTTTATTCTTTCTGTAACACATAGCACATAGTAGGCACTCATATTTGTTAATTAATGATGCCTATAATGAGCTCCTCCTTTTTCCTGGGACATATTATACATTTTGAAACTATAATAAGACCAAATCAGTATATTATGAGTCGTAGCTGAGCATGTTTCCATTGCAGTATGACTAAATTTGGAGTGTGTTGCAGAGTTTTGGTTTTGGTCCACCTTTGATGATGATGTAAGTAAACTATGTTGTGCTTATAATGTAAACAGCATGACAATAAGTTCTTCACCTCTTCTGCAGTATATGCCATCCGTGAAGCTGCCACCAGCAACCTCATGAAACTAGTTCAGAAGTTTGGTACAGAGTGGGCCCAGAATACCATCGTTCCCAAAGTGTTAGTGATGGCAAATGATCCTAATTACTTGCATAGAATGACCACTTTGTTCTGCATTAATGTAAGTATTACATAGCTATTATTGCTAAGCTCAGGTGTTAAAGCAATTATTCAGGACAGTATTTCTGAATTCTGTGTGTATTGTCTTCTGTTTGGAATATATTTCTTATACTGATTAATTTGGATAGTTGGAAGATGAGAGAAAAATGCCAATTTTTTAATTTCATGTTAAAATCTACAGTAGTCAAGTCAGTTGTGAATTCGGGTCTAATTCTGGGATTTTTTTTTTTTATTGCAGTAACATTGGTTTATAACATCATATAAATTTCAGGTGTACATCATTATACTTCTATTTCTACGTAGATTACATCATGTTCACCCCCCAAGACTAATTACAATCTGTCACCACACACATGTGCCTAATCATCCCTTTCACCCTCCTCCCTCCCCCCTTCACCTCTGGTAACCACCAGTCCAGTCCCTCTCTCTGTGTGTGTTTGTTGTTGTTTTTATCTTCTACTTATGAGTGATATCATATGGTATTTGATCTTCTCCCTCTGACTTATTTTGCTTAGCATAATACCCTCAGTGTCTATCCATGTTGTCACAAATGGCTGGATTTCATCATTTCTTATGGCTGAGTGGTATTCCATTGTGTATATATACCACATCTTTATCCATTCATCCATTGATGGGCACTTAGGTTGCTTCCACGTCTTGGCTATTGTGAATAATGCTGCAGTGAACACAGGGGTGCATGTATCTGTATGCATGTGTGTTTTCATGTTCTTTGGATAAACACCTAGCAGTGGAATAGCTGGATCATATGATAGTTCTACCCTTAATTTTTTGAGGAATCTCATACTGTTTTCCATAGTGGCTGCACCAGTTTGCACTCCCACCAGCAGTGCATGAGAGTTCCCTTCTCTCCACATCCTCTCCAACAATTGTTGTTTCCTGTCTTGTAAATTATAGCCGTTCTGAAGGGAGTGAGGTGATATTGTAGTTTTGATTTGCATTTCCTTGATAGTTAATGATGTTGAACATTTTTTCATGTGCCTGTTGGCCATCTGTATATCTTCTTTGGAGAAATGTTTGTTCAGGTCTTTTGCCCATTTTTTAATTGGGTTGGTAGTTTTTTTGTTGTTGATGTATAAGTTCTTTATATATTTTGGAGATTAACCCCTTATCAGATGTATGGTTTGCAAATATCTTCTCCCAGTTGTTAGGTTGTCTTTTTGTTTTGTTGATGGTTTCCTTTGCTGTGCAGAAGCTTTTTAGTTTGATGTAGTCCCATTTGTTTATTTTTTCTATTGTTTCTCTTGCCCAGTCAGACATAGTACTTGAAAATATCTTGCTAAGACCGATGTCAAAGAGCATACTGCCTATGTTTTCTTCCAGAAGTTTCATAGTTTCATGTCTTACATTCAAGTCTTTAATCCATTTTGAGTTAATTTTTGTGTATGGTGTAAGATAATGGTCTACTTTCATTTTTTTGCGTGTGGCTGTCCAGTTTTCCCAACACCATTTATTGAAGAGACTTTCCTTTCTCCATTGTATGTTCTTGGCTCCCTTGTAGAAAATTAGCTGTCCGTAGATGTGTGGGTTTATTTCTGTGCTCTCTCTTCTGTTCCATTGATCTGTGTGTCTGTTTTTGTGCCAGTACCATGCTGTTTTGGTTACTGTCGCTTTGTAGTATATTTTGAAGTCAGGGAGTTTGATACCTACAGCTTTGTTCTTTTTTCTCAGGATTCCTTTGGCTATTTGGGGTCTTTTGTTTTTCCATATAAATTTTAGGATTCTTTGTTCTAATTCTGTGAAGAATGTTGTTGGAACTTTGATATAGGGATTGTATTGAATCTGTAGATTGCTTTAGGAAGTATGGACATTTTAACTATGTTAATTCTTCCAGTCCTAATTCTGGGATTTTTTGAATGCTACCTCATATGTCCCTTATTCAGATGCTCAAACTAGAAACATTTTCCTATTGGTCAGTTACTTTCTTATTAAATATTAATTTGTCTCTTTAGATTTGGGGATATTTTAAAAAATAAAGGAGTTTTAAATGTGCCATTTTATTTCTTTTTCTAGGCGCTGTCTGAAGCCTGTGGTCAAGAAATAACCACTAAGCAGATGCTGCCCATTGTATTGAAAATGGCAGGAGACCAAGTAGCAAACGTCCGTTTTAACGTGGCCAAATCTCTACAGAAAATTGGACCAATTCTAGATACTGAGTAAGATTTTAGTATTATTATTGTTTTAAAATTAGATTCAAGTTTTTACCTTATAGTGGGGATTAATAGCTAAAATTAAATTGAATGATTTTCACTTTACCTAAGATGTGGGTTTGTATAAAGAAAATAATAAAGTAATTTAACAACCATTTTTGAGGGTGTCCACTCTAACTTTTATATTTAAACTCTGTATATGGGTAGATCATTGCCTGAAACTAATTCTGCTGAGAACTTTAGAAATTATTTAGTACTTGTCAAGTTTATATTGTAGGTGTTTTAAAGAACATTTTTATTTTAAACTTTAAAAATTACCATAGAGCAGATATACCATAAAGCATTTCTCTGGTCCAGAAGACTGCCTTTCACAGATAATACTGTTGGATTTTAGGGCTTTGCAGGAGGAAGTTAAGCCGATACTACAGAAGTTAGGCCAAGACGAAGACGTGGATGTCAAATACTTTGCACAGGAAGCTATAAGTGGTATGTCTTTCTGTTTTTTGCCTGCAGCTTTTGCTCGGGTTAAGAGGGTGTGAGTGACGTTAAGTGGCAAGGCGATAAGCATATGGGAGACAGGGAGGGTGGTGAGCTCCTGGAATGCTTGTTCCCTGTTTGGGAGAACCTTCTTGGCCCACCACTGAGCAGGCCATTATCTCAGTTCCATGTCTAGGGCAGGTAGAAATATGATTCTTACTGGAAGAACAGTTTTTCATTTGAATTTTAATCAGTTTTTAAAGTTTAGCTTTTGATTAGCCTGGCAGAGTATAAAGAAACTGACCACAGTAAGAAGTTCATAGTCTTATGCTTTTGGATCATTGTTCTCGTGCTTAATAGTCACATAGATAGTTCATGAACTTTCTGTACCACTAACTTGATTTTGTTTGGAATTTTCCAGTGCTTGCGTTGGCATAATGAGGAACAGGAGGGAAAAGACTTTACTAAATTCTTATCACAGATTTCTAGTCAGTGTATTCTTAAACTGGGTGGAGAAAAAATGGAAAACCTTCAAGACCTCATCCAAGCAAATGGCAACAACAACAAGAAATCAAATTTCAATGACTCGATTCTTTCTAAAAATGAAATGGGATTGTTTTTTACTTGTCTTCCTTGTTGGGATAATAATATTTAGAACCATTCTTGTTATTTGTGATGAATTCCTGACACTTGATACAGTCATTTCTTGATTGTCTCCTAATGATTTATCTGGCACTGTCTGGGCACCTGCATCCTCACTGTTTAATCAGGCCCCAGCCACTTAATATTCTTGACCAAGTGTGGAGGGGTTTGGACCCAGACGTGGGGTGGAGTGATTCTCTTGATGTTTACATATATCTGTGTCTCTCCATCATTCCAAAGTTAAATGTACATGGTTTAGAGTAACTTGTTTTATAAACACTCTATTTGGAAGACACATCAAGATTTAACTGTAGTGAAAGCTACATTTTTCCTGGATAATGATGGTCTGCATCAATGTCTCACATGAAAGGGAATGTGAAAGCTCAGGGTTTATGTATTGGTTGTTTTGGTTTTTATTTGCTTGATTTTGACTGTAATCATGTCATTGAGAAACCTGAAGTGCAGACATGTGACATTGAGCTTGCTGCTAACGTGTGATGTTGAAACTTAACTGAATTTCAACAGCTCTCCACTGTGACTGCATTCAAAAATACTTTCTCTCTCCATCCCCTGAGAAACTTAAAAGTTAGTGCCTCCCAATAAGCAGTGATTCTACTGTTTGACTGTAAGATTGCAGTTTTGTATTTCTAATGAGTAAAGGAACTGCTGGTATAATCCTGTGAGCATTTCCTGCTCTTTCCCTGGCTCTGCTTCCAGCTGTGTGCACATCTGGTCCTTGCTACATCCTACAGTAGTGGCTTTCCAAACTGAAGTTCGTTACTAATTTTTTTGTATGGGTGATGCTGGAATCTAATCATTTGAAATGTTTGTTTTTCTACTTTTACAGTAAAACCTCATTAATTCTTCCTGGAATTTAAGGTAATGAGTTTAGCTGAAGAAGGTTTGCTGAAGTAAATTAGTAGTATGTCAGGAAGCCTGTTGTGTCTGAGCTACTTACACAATTTTAAAGCTCTCTTTAAAAAGCACCCTTTTACTAGTTGATATGCCAATTACTAATCACTCTTCTCAATTATATTAAAATACCTTCCATGAGGATCTTTATGAGGCCACATCTTTTTTTAGATAGATTCAGTTTACTCTTTATCCCTGAAATATATACATATGTAATTCATGGAGAATTTAAATATTTTTTAAAAAATTTATTTACATTTTTCCCCTAATCAAACTTGCCTTGTCCCTAATGCATTTTAATTAATGAGGTTTTATTGTAGCTTACTTTTCTCTCAGTACATCTTGCTATGTTGTTTGTTTCCATTTTGGTTTTCAAAATTGTTTCTTTCATTCACAACCTTTTTTAAACCCAGTGAGCCCTGTACTGTTCTGTGAAGGCCCAAAGACTCCTAAAAAGCTTTGTACATTAAACCATTACATAAAACCAAGTTTGACCAAATACTTTCAAGTGTGTCTTACCTTAGAAAAGCAGAACATTTTAAGTCAGAAATTATCTGCCTGCATTTAAAACTGCCAAATTATCTTATATTAAGTTTCTATTTTATTACTTTTTGGGCTAAGGATTAAATATTTTCCTAAGCAAAAATCTTTTCTATGTTCTCATTTTAATATCTTAAACTATTATGATGTAAACATTTTAATTTTAGTTTCATGGTTCTTTTTATTTTTTATTATCTGCAGGTTATGTTCCTCTTCATTGAAGTTCATATTTGAGAGACTGTTGTCTTGATTCTTGTAACAAATATGCACAACCATTGCTTTACTCTTGGGCTGGAAATGCCATTGGTTTTGAATGCCCTGTGTACTCCCTGGGGAGCCCTGTGCATTGACCCCCACCCTAAGACTGTGGTAAAGGGGAGACAGTGAGCCCCTGCTTTCTGAGGCCTGGGTCAGGGAGCTCAGCAGGGCCCTGTCTTTTGGGTGACCCCCTTAGGGACTTCATTGTCTATTTGTGACTGAAACAATAGGGAATCCTTTTATTCCTCCTCAGAGGAATTGTTCTTTGGCTCATCACTTGGTCATTTTCTCCGTGGATTAGTTTTCCTATCTTGATTTCACCAGAATGCTCCAGGAGCTCTGTAAGGGCAGGGATTTGTGTCTGTTTTGTTTTCTGCTGTATCGCCAGCACCTAGGTCAGTGTTAGGTGTACTTAGTAGGTGCTCAATAAAAGTGTGTTCAATGACTTTTTGAAATCTGTCCTCTGATGTGTTGCGTGCGTGGAACTCAAATCACCAAAGGTACCGGACTGCATCTCATTCTCCTATTGACACAATAAAAGGATTTTAATGCTCTTAAGAAACAAGCTTTATGTGGCCCTTCTCCAGTCCCCTATCTTAGGCAACAGTTCCCTGGATTATTCCACCCTCCCTGGATTATTGTGAGGCAGAAAGGGCTTTAAACCATCTAAAGCACTTAGCACAAAGCCCCTGTGTAATAAGCACACAAATGGTAGCTATCAATGTCACTCTGACTTTAAAAGTAATCCATGTTCACTGGCCAAAATTTGATATGTATGATTGCCTGGAATATATATTGTGTAGTTTTTCATCCTAGGCAGTTTACATCAGTTGTCTGGTTGATTGGGAAAGTGAAGCAAAGACATACATGCAACCTTAAGCCAATAAAAATGTCTCGTCAACAATGGAATTCACCTTGGTGTTTCTTTCTACGATTTGCGTAGAAAAAATTATCCCTCACAATAGTTTGAGACCAGATCTTGTTTCTCTGCTGCCAAGAAGATATGAACCTGAAGACGCATCCTGTTTCATAAGAATAAACAGGTTAATGTGTGGTTTTGTTTGTTTTCTTTTCTTTTCTTTGTGAGGAAGATTAGCCCTGAGCTATCATCCGTTGCCAATCCTCCCCTTTTTGCTGAGGAAGATTGGCCCTGGGCTAACATCCGTGCTCATCTTCCTCTACTTTATATGGGACCCTGCCACAGCATGGCTTGACATGCTGTGTGTCGGTGTGCACCTGGGATCCGAACCTGTGAACCCCGGGCTGCCAAAGCTGAGCGCGTGAATTTTAACTGCTACACCACCAGGCCAGCCCTGATGTGTGGTTTGTAACGAGGCCTTGTTTCTAAGCTTGGCCACTGTGATGCAAGGCCCTGGGGGGTCTTTGCTGGACAACTTGTCCTGACTCAACAGAGACAGCAGCCTGACCTTTGAGCTGTCTTATCCAAGCATCCAAGAGACTTCTTGCCTAGACGTCCAGGGGAAACAAACATGTCACTCCTGACCCAATGGTTAAGCTATGGCAATGCTCTCGTTGCATTTTGCTTATTAATCACTGTTGTCACGGAGTTGAAAGTCTGGTGCTTTCCTGTAGAAGTCACATTGGTTCTGTCCCCTAGGGATGGCAGGGCAGGTGGCCAAACGAGTTGGGTGCTTGTCCTACCCTCTTGCTTAAATTCCTCTGACACCTTCTTCCTCCTGGCACTCTTACCTCACAGCCTCCTATTTCCCCACTGCTTGGATATAAAACTGGAGGGAGAAGGAGCTGTCACCTTGTGCTCCTTGGTTTAGGAGATAGAGTGACTGTGGTCCGATGTTATGTAATTGTTGCCCTCTGATTCTCATATTCCTGTTTCCATCCAGTTCCTTGCTCCTCTTTCCTGTTCACTCACATGTCTCCAATCGTTTTTTGTACCTAGAATAGTCTCACTATTCCCTGTTTGCCTCCACGAGCCTGCTGTTTCCAGGAAATTACATAATGTTCAGTTGAGATGGAAATCTTCTGGAGGATGAAGAGAGTTTAATTACTCATTGGGTAGAAAAGCCAAGTCATTTCTTTCTCTGGAGTTTTCTCTTAAACTGATATTATCAGTTTTGAAAGGAGTCAGGTCTTTTCTGTCTGGTTGGGGCCCTGTAGGCTGTCAGTGACCAAGATGTAGGGGAGCACTCAGCTGGCACCATAAGGCCCAGTGGGTGGCACTTTCCATGGCTCTTGAGGGAAAGGCACCTTCAGTAAGGTCCTGGGGTGAACCAGCTTTCTCTGCACGGGGACTTGTATGCTGCTAGGTTCCTGTGCTTCCCCACTTGCAGTGCTGGAATGGCAGGGCATCCTGGCTAGGACGCGCAGGTGGGCTTAGGCGGGATGTACCCTGGTCAGGGGCAGTTAGGTGCCACTGTCTGTATCTCCAGTGGTAGCCCAGAGGCTGAGGAAGCTAGATTTTCCTGTGAAGGACAGTGAAGAGCCCAGCGCCCTTGGGGCTGACAAGAACCACTTCCGGAGATCCAGAGGGCCTGGAGAGGACAGCGGGAAGGTAAGTGCACAGACACCTGGCCTGAGTCCTCCCCTCCGATGGGCTAAGGGGTGGGTGGAGGGCAGATGGCATGGCTTGTTGCTACAGCAAGCTAGGCAGAGACGCAGGACCTCTAACTCCCTGAGGAGACAGTCAAGTTTTTAGGGCCAAGAGAGTCTATTTTTAAAGCCTGTTGCTGATTCTTGTCCTTCGTTCTGGAAATGCTTTCTGAGGAGGGGGGTGGGCTTTCCAGAGCTCTATCAGTCCTGTGGTTTGAAGCCTCCCTTCCCCCATTGAGACAGTGACGCCCATGCAGAGGACAGCGGTGGTTTGGTGAAGACTTGCTTATAGAAACGGGCTAGTCCCACTTACCTCTCAAAATATAGACAGTTTTTATTTGCTACAATTCCTGTCAGTCATTTCTATTCAAGGAAAAAACCATTTCTGTCAATTTTACTGTGTAATAGTTTGAATGTTTTATAAGCCCCATTTGAGGCCACTCTGGAGAAGGTGTGCAAAAGTTTAAGTTGAGCATTCAGGGTTGGTGCTGGCCACTGCCCTGGGGCTGTTTGTTAGGAGGAACATAAATGCATTCAGAAGAGCAGTGCAGAGGGGCTCTGCTGCCTTGTGCTGATATCAGGCTGCATTTAGTTTATTCAGAAGATACTGGCATTCTCACCTGCTCCAGTGGCTTTGCTTGGTAAAGATTCTAACATCCAAATTTGCCTTCTAAATCTCCAGGGCTGTTCCTTCATTGTATGTGGACTCGGGTCATGAGAACTTTTTCCTGTTGTCCAGGCCCTGAGCTGCAGTCTTTCATCTTAGAATGTTCTCTCCTTTCTGCAGTGCTGCACACTGTTATCCCAGGGCCTGAGCAGTCAGGTGTGGCTGGTTTGGGCAGCTTCGGGCTGTTCCTGCAGTGGCTGCACAAGAGGAAGTCCTGGGGTGACAGTGCCACTCACAGCCTCAGCCAGCCCCTGGGCCCTCACAGATGCCTGGGGTGGTCAGCCCTTTATGTCCTTATGTCTGTTTCACAGAACTTGGCCGTAGGGAAGACCTTGGCCGAAGGAGCAGGAATAATAATTATATACTTTTAGGCCTAAACCACAGACTTCCTTGGGAAGAAAGGAGTTATGTTTTCCTACAAAGTCAGGGTCAACTGGCCATGCCATTAAATGATGGTATGCCTCTGGTCAGAGCATGGAACAGTTGATGTGACTGCTCATGGCAGACTTGCTCAGGTCTGTAGGTGGCCCCATGATGGCCACAAGCTGTGGAAATAGTATTAGCTGCTATTCCTTGAGCCTCGAGCTTGGTAATTGTGTGCAGGCACCTTGTCAAGCACTTGGCAAGATCTCTCCTAATCCTTCCAACAACCCCGAGGGTAGGTGCTGTCAGCTCCATTTTTCAGGTGGTCGTGAACCACCCCGCAGCCCTGTCATATCTACTTGGGAGTCTTTTCCAGCAATGGATGCCTGGCGGTGCTAGGCCTCTGAGGCTGCAGATCATTTAACCCAGAAAAATCCCCTGCCCCATGACTCAGGGAGCCTTCCTTGCGTTTGTTTCACTTAAGGAAAATGACCCGAGGGTGAAATGGAAAGGGAATTGGCTGTTGCCAGGCAGAGCCCTGCATGTCAGGGGCCAGCAGCCAAGTGAGTGATCCAGGAAGTCATCCAATTGCAAACCAGAAATTCTTCTTAACCCCTCACTCACTGTCTGTGGTGCATGGCACACTCCCCCATCTGCCTGAAGGGGGTCAGAGTGAACCTCAGCTGCTGAGAGCCCTGGGAACTGTCCTCAGTTCTGGCCTAGCCTCTGGGCCCTGTGCGAGCCATTAACATCCTCAGGCTTGGGTCTGCCACTTGCTCCAAGAGAGAATGGCACCAAGGGGTAAGAGGCAGTTCCTTTTGGTGAAGGGTGCCTGTTTGGTCCCTCAGAGACTGCCCCTTAGTGTCTGCAGAGCAGTCTGTGCTCCGGATGTCGCACGTGCCCCCATGCACACCTGCCAGGGAGCAGTGTGGCCGCCTTGCACTCCCTGCCGACCCTGGGTCAACTCAGCTGCTCCTTCCTGTGGTGGCAGACAAGTGGTCTCCCCTCCTAGCCAGGGGGGACTGCCCTCCTCGACAGTCGACAGTCCACGGGTTGCTCTCTGATGACAGACAGAGCTGCTGACGGGCCTCTGTCAGGCGAGGGTTAACAGAGGATTTGTTTATTGAATCACGAAGTAGCTGTCACATGATTTTAATCAAAACACCATTTCCCTGACAACAGTGATGTCAGTCTTGTTATTGCAGGAAGGAGCAGCTGTGAGGGACATTCAGTCTCCATGCCGAGCCCAGGTTTAGAGACTAAAATCAAGCGAAGCATCCATAAATGATGGTTGCAGGCACCGATGTACCCAGTCCACCCTCCTCTTCCTCTTCTCTCTGTCCCAACAGTCTGTCCTGCGCAGACACTGGCCAGAGCCCGGCCCCTGCACCCCGAGTCTCCACTGAGATCTCACCTTCTGCACCCCTTGCTTCTTCTAACCTGTTTCTACTTCTGGTTTTTCCAGTTTTCCTTATTTTCCCCAAACTCAGTCATTTGGGCCCCTAGGATCTCTGGCTTCTGCCTTCTGGCATCTGTCTCTCCATGTTCTAAACCAGTGCTTGCTGGTGAACCAGTTCTGGCTCGTCTGAGGTGGGGGCCATTCTGCAGCTCAGGAATCTCAGCTCTTTCAGGAGCCAGCTTTCTAGGGGAGGAGGGGCTGCTTGTCCTGTCCTTGCCCCTGCTAAGAGCAGATTGGGGGGGGGCCGATGTGCTGCCTGAGGGTCTCCAGGGCATTTCTAAGGAGCTTGGGTGTGGATGGATGCTTGAAGGGTGAGAGCTCCTCCAGGGCCAACCTCTGGGCTGGGGGATTAGTTCTCTTGAACCAGAGAGACTACCAGAGGTCTGAGTGCATCTAATTAAAGATTGACAGCAGAGGTGAGAGCCCTGGGGAGGTCAGAGGTGGGCCAGTCACAGGGCCAGCTGGAGCAGTGTCCTTAGGCTCTGGCCTCTTCTCGGCACCTTCTCCACTGTGGGGGCTTGGGGACAGAGTAGCTGTCTCTGCAGCAAAGACCCCCAGGCCCTCCAACCCTTCTCCACCCAGAAGGTTGGCCTAAAAGTTAGAGATGGATGAGACCTCCCTTCTAGGTTGCACATGGATTCTCACAGATGTTCTTAATGTCTGTGGTACCCGTGGCTGGTGCTGCCCAGAAGTCATCACTGAAAATGAAGAAATCCTGGGCAAAGTTCTTGGTTCTTAACCTGGAGCAGGTGCTCAGAATAGGGCACCCACCCTTAAATCTGTTGAGACATTTCACAGGGAGCAAGCAACCATTTTCTGCGTCTGGTGTTGGGACAGTGAAGAGTTAAATGAAAGCAAGACAGGTGGAGGTGAGATACTATAACAAGCTGTCAGGGGAGCTGGGGAGTCTTCTGGATACTTTGTTGTTGGAGGGCAGTGCCATCAGGCTACATTGGAATCGCACAGTAACCTGAGAGTTAAGTCAGCCAGTCTATGCTCCCGAGTTACCGTTGGGGATAACGAGGCTTTGCAATGATTTGCTCTGGTTAGTGGCAGGGCTGGGAGGGGCCAGGGGCTGAGGACTCAGTCAGGGGTTCTTTGCTGCCTCCCAGTCTGTCCCTGGCAGAGAATGGGTAGGCACCACCCTGACTGGAGGGCTTTTCTGGCTGAGGTGGCTGCTCCAGGGAGTGGGCTGGGGGAAGCTGGGCCCTGCTCTCCCAGCCTTGGTCCTTCATCTCTGGGGCCTCCTCCAACTGCCTGCCTGCCTGCCCTTTGGCCCTCTCTTTGCTGGCACAGGGACCCTGATAAACATGTGGGCTTCTATAGTGACCAGAGGTCAGTTCTAGGAGGTCCCAGACTGGAGCCAGCAGAGGCTGTGAACCCAGGGTCCTTCCCATGATGTGCTTCTAGGAAAGGCCTTGGGGGCTTTTTCCCTCAGTTCATTTGCGTCCCACTTGCCAACCGTGCAAGTGGCCCTGGCCTGGTAATGGACTAACTCCTGAGGGTCAGAGTTCTCAGTCAGGCCCCATTAGTCCCTCCTTCTCTTTGGAGAGTGAGGAGAGAGATTGAGTCAGAAACTCTCACAGCCTGCCTGATGGAGAGAGTGACTCGATTTTCCCTTAGAGGTCAAATCCCCAATGCCTCATTTCTTCTGGGCCCAGATTTTCTGAGCTTTCTGCCCAGCCAGCTCTTGGGGGCTCAGCTGCAGCGGCGGCGGGGGGTCCGCCTCCCATGGTGCAGTGTGCTCCCTCCCCTGATCCGGGCTTCTTGCTTGGTGGCTCAGCCCTGCACCTGCTTTGCCTGGGCTTCGGACCTCTGCCAATCCGACCAGCTCTGAGTCAGCTGTGCCGAGGAAAGTCCCCTAGAAACTTACACGAAGGGAGTTGTCAGTGCTCCCTAGGGGCATCTGCAACTGCAGGTCCAGAGGAGTTCAGCTGCGCTGGGGGTTGGGATGTTCGAGCAGGAAGGCTTGTTAGAGTGGAATGGCTGCAGGTACACAGCAAGCTCCCCACTCAGCCTGGCCTGGCTTTCGGGTTTGGCCTCTGTGATTTGTGGTCAGAGCTACATACCTGGGTGGGGGCAGGGTTGCCAGTGACCCCTTCACTTCAAGACCCACATCTGTCTCCCAAAGGGACATTGCAAAGGATGAGCCATGCGCAGCATTCCATCCCTTAGAGCTGCTCAGCCTTGTCATTTCTTTGAAGTGACATCACTGGCTGGGGCTGAAATGACAGAGCCACCTCTCTTCAGCTCCCAGGACAGACCAGCTGCAGCCTGTGCAGGTGACATTTATTTTGCAGCTACGTGGCACTTAGGATTTAGTGCACAAAGCCCAGGACTTCCTCCCACAGTGCCCTGGGGCTCTTTTCCTTACCTGGATTCTCTCTGAAAAGCCTGAGGGGTTGCAGATGGAGGCACTAACGCTCTTTCTCAGTTAGGGGTTAGAAATCCCTCTAACCCTGTGAATGGGCCTCAGGGGTTCAGAAACTAACCCCTTCCCTGAAATTTTCTGTCCGAAGTTGTATGTCTGTGTATAATATGTTTCCTGGGAAGAGGGTCCAAAGCTTTTATCAGCATGTCAGAGGGATCTGTGAAACCTCAATTTAAGAACTAGTGGGGCAGAAAGGAGCAGATGGCCAAGAACTGAACCTTGGGGCCCTGCTACTTCCCTCCCCCTGGCAGGGCCCTGCTACTTCCCTCCCCCTGGCAGGGCCCTGACTAGCGGTGACAGAGGTGGGCTCTGGTGAGTGGCACTGCAGACACTGGGTCCTTTTGGAGTGTGGGCACTGTTGGCAAACTCTAGTCCCCCAGCCCAGCCAGGAAGAGGCCCTGGGTCTGGTGCTCAGGTCTCCACGGTCTCACCCTCCTCCACCCTGTGCTGAGCCTTTGGCTCATGAAAGCCGCAGAACCGAAGGATGTTCTGGAGAACGTGGAGGTCGGGCTTGATGGGCTGCTGAAGTTCTGGCCAGTGTCTCCTGGCAGGTCTGCTATTTTTGCCTGTACCCTGGACACTGGGGTTGTTTTTGGCAACACAAAATAAAAATGATGGAGAAATTTGGTGGGAAAGGGGAAAGTTTGCAAAACATCGTTACTGAAATTGAGTGCTTTCCTTAAAAAAAAAAAAAAAAAAAAAATTGAAACTCTGTGTTACTCAATTCTTGGGTAGCCAAACAGGGGTAACAGCTGTTTTTGGGGCAGGACTGAGCGCTGTAAGTGGTGCTGGGGCAGCAGAACAAGCTGATGGAGAGGGCCTACTCTCCTCCTGTTCTGGGCTGAGAGTCTCCTCCACCCTCCCACCCACCCAGGCAGCCAGCAGATGATCCCTGTTTGTGAACTGTCTCAGTTCTATAGCATGGGCTCAACTGGAATCATCTGAGTGAAACCAAATCTCAGTTGAACTTGCTGCCAGAAAGTAGGATTTAATACTGCCCTTTCTTTCACTCAGGGTCTGGCACGAAACCAAGTCCCAAATGTATGAGAGTGGCCCCAAATGCCTCGGCAAATGGATCCTACAGCACCTGAGGGCACTGAGCTGGTGCCTATCCCTGTGAGGGGGTCCACCGTATGTGTGTGCGTACGTGCGCGCGTGTGTCCGTGTACACACGCAGTATTGAGGCCTTCTGCAGGCCCCAGAGAAGACGTGCCGTGGTGAAGAAGTAGCAGTGTCTGGCTGGCCCCCATTCCTACCTCTCGCCCTGCAGCTTGCTTGTCCTTGGGGAGTCCGATGCGCCTGCCTCCCCTGCTCCTCCTGCTGTAGAGGCCCTTCCCCGACTACCTCTGCAAATCCAGGAGCACCAGGCAGCGCCCAGCCTGGGCCCGCCCGTGTGCAGGCTGCGGTTAGCAGTGCTTCCGTCAGCGTGCTGAAGCGGCTAACGTGTACTCGGGCGATTTCAGAGCGAGGTATTATTTACCCTGCTGACGTCAATGAGAACATATTATCCACTGTCCTTTTCTGCAGCCTGAAATGAGCACCAGAGCTCAGGGAACACAGCCACCTTCCATACTTTAAAAATTCCACCCAAGGCCTGATGAGGCAAAGGCCCTATCTCATCCGCCTGACATTCATCTCACCCAGGCTCTTAGAAAACAAGTTGTTTTTATTTTAATTCAAGAGGGTTGGAGACGTAAAAACAGTACATTTTCCTTGCAGAAAATTACCCCCATTTAAATTACTGTTTGATACAAAGATCATTTATTAAACTGCATTTTAGGCAATTTTCTAACATTGAGTGACAGGTTACATTTTGATTTTTTCACATTGGAGCTATTATGATTTGCACTCAAAATACCAAAGCTATTGAACTCACCACCTTTTCTTAGCATTTAGGAAAAAAAGCACACAGAAAAAATAACTACAGTTAGATTAACTTTATCAAAAGTAACTCACAAACCAAACATCCAACAAAGACCACCCTCCTCCCTTCAGAAATAAGCAAATCATCTTGCCCTTTCTACAAAGTGCAAATATCTCTGTATCACTTTTATTTCTTATAGTCCCCAAAGAGAAGCAAATCTCCTTTTCTCTCTACTTCTTTTCCCTTCAGAGATATTGGTGGAGGCAAATTTCTTTTACCATCAGTAGTGGCAAAGTCGCACCACTTGAATTTCCTTGACCGAGCAAATCTTGAACCGATAGGCATCCACAGGCAGCGGCGACTCCCAGGTTTCTGTATTTGCTAATGTAACATTATTCCAATCTGGGGTCATATTTTTCCAGGATGTTATTTTGCACTTCTATTTTTAAAGCTCCCTCCTACCCACCCACTTTGCCTCTGAAAAGACTAAGTATTCAATCAAAGTTGTTTTTAACCCTAAAAGTGTCTAATCAGCACTTCTACTTGATGGGCCTGAATTGTAAAGAAACGTTACGCCCCTCCTCAGGATCAGGCTGGGTTTGTGATTCTTCTCTGAGCAGCCCCCTTTCTTGGGGTTGGGTCTCTTGGCCTGCAGTGGTGGGTCAAAGCTGTGCAATTTGGCCCCCTGGCAATCAAGGAAGGGTGTGTCCTTCTCTCATATACTCCTGTAGGAAATTACTATATTGTGCAACTTGGAGACACTAGACATGTTTGATGTGAACCTAACTTCTGTAGTTAACTGGACACTGGAAGGATGGCAGTCTGTGGGGTCTGTGTCCCCCTAGCCTTGTTCATGCAGGGCCTCTTGGACAACTGCAGTTGTCACCTGGAGGGCACCTCCTTCCCAAAGCCAGGCAGCTGTCAAGTGCACAATAAGTGCGGGGATAGTGTCACATTCACCCAGTGCTTCACCAAGATGGGGACTCTGTTTATACAGCTGTTTGCTCATGAGAAGAGTCAACTGCTACTGAGGAGGGAAAGAGCTGACTGAGAATCTGGAAAACCCACGAGCTTGTCCCGGTGCCTCCACTCACAAGCTCCGTGCACCTGGACAAGTCACGTAAACAGTCACATGTTCTTTGAGAGCTTGGGTTTCCTCAGCTGTAAAAATGAGGATGGTATCTGCCCAACTGATTTCATGGAATTTTTGTGAGGATTAGAAGAGATGACTTGTGCAAGTGCTGGGTATGGTAGTGCACAGATATAAGCTACTGCTCCTTTCGGACAGGCAAGCTGCACGTTGGGCTGGAACCATCAAAACTATCACTGGCTAGGGCAGTGCTGCTGCCTGTTTCTCAATCTCTGCAATAGCAGGTGCCCAATTCTGCCAGATGTGTTGAAATCTGCCCAGATGACATGTGGACATTAGATGGTCGTGTAACTAGGGCGGCTGTGAGTCTTCTAGAATCAGCTAGCCTACTTTAATGGGAAAAAAATGGTAAAACAAATATGAGAGGGGCACTGTAAGACCAGAGACTCTGGGGCCAAAAGGAGTTTTGAAGGCCAGACTTTGTTCATCCTGCCGCCTTCCAGGGGCCACAGGCCAAGAGACAGAAAGGGCTCTGTAACCAGTCACTTCCCTGGGGCTGCAGGCCAGGGAGGACCATACTACCAAACCTGTCAGAAGGGGTACATAAATTTTTAAAAATGTTTTTTTGTCCAGTTTAGAAGCAGAGGCAGATGATACTGCTCTTGCCTTCCACACATCACTCTGAAGATAAGTTCTGTAAAAACGTCCTTTAAAAGCAACAAAATGATCAAAGTTTCCTGCCTATAACAATGACTCCAACTTACTACCTGTTCTCCAGTTTTTTTTACCTTTGATGTCTAGGCACAAAGAGACCGAGCGGCTCAGGTGGCTTCCGAGGAGGCAGTAGAGGCAGCCCAGGGTGGGGGTGCAGATGCAGCCAAGGTCAGCCCTGGCACGGGACTCTGCAACTGTTCACTGGGACCAGTGCTGGCAAGTGACACTATGTATTGTCTCTAAAGGAGGAGCAACGTGAAAAAGTTATCCGGAGTATGAATTTTCTTTAAACCAATAGGGAGCTGAAGTGTAACTGTTGATAGAGGTTTTTAAATGTAATCCAGAGCTGAAAATTCTGAGCCCAACATAGAACCCAATATTTAATTAATTACCAGGGACCCCGCAAAGGAAGCCACTCATTTCCTCATGTCCACGTGGCTGAGCTGCCTGCACCTGACCCGAGGCTGCTCTAATTACCACACCTGGACCCCTGACCACCTCTAACGAGAAGCTGCTGCTTTTCCCCTTTCTTTAGTTTCTGGTTGGCTACCCAATCACTCGCTAGCTGAGAATACACCCTTCTTCCCAACTGGAACAATTAGGTAGAATTCTTTTCTCTAAGAGCCTCCCCTTTTAGGTACTGACGACAGTGTGGGGGCAGAGTGGGAGAGGCCAGTGCCACAATGAATCCCTTCCGCAGAGGCCTTTAGTCAACTGGAGGGCGATGCTCCTCCAAGGTGGTCCCCTCCCTCCCCATAAGGGCACAGGGCCCCCCATTGCTCAGGGACTCTGACGTGAGGGCTGACTTTAGTCCCAGTCCCAAGCTCCTGCCAGTCCCACCTAACCGACTCAGGACACAGCTTAAACGAGTTCTTTATTTCTGAGAAAGAAAGGGACTCTTTCTCCTTCTTAGGAGGCAAAGTTTGATTCAGAAAAGAAAAGGTTTTGTTCATATCAGAACTCACAGAGTCCTTTAGTCCCATCTCATGGTCCTTCTTGGTGGCCCCAGATGTTTCCCATTAAGCAGATACTGGAAGGTGGTTGGTGTGGAGAACCTTTGGCCCCCTTCTGTGTTCCCAAGGTAGCAAGAGGCCGGTGCAGGCCTGGGAGGGGCAGAGGTGGCGAGGGGCGGCTGGGGATGGTCACTGGAGCTTACCAGCAGTTTTGAAATGCAACAGCCACCCTCTCTCTGTTGCGTTAACATGCTCTATTTGCCTTACAGGGACCTGCATATCAGCTGCACGTAAATACTAGAGACACACTTGCCTGACTGGAAATGGCAGAACTAGTGCATTTTTCCCAAAGCAGAGACTAATACCCCTGGATTAAAAAAAGAACATAAACAAAAAATAAAGTACCACACATATTGCACTTTTTGCCGAGTGAAATTTTTACCTCACGTTCATCTCACCAAAGTCTCTTCAGAGGAGCCTGGTTTACAAGATAATAAAGCTAATGATTATTATACAGTAGTGTACACACTGCTAATGTGAAACAGACTGGAAAGAAAGGCATTATTTCAAAGCAGCCTCTCATAAAAAGAGTGGTACGAAGCCTTCTTAGTGTTTCTTTAGTATTTGTGAAGAGAAAGCGGCTTGGAAGCTTACACAGGTCACTAGTTAGGGGACAGAGCAACGGCAAGGATCAGACAGGGTTGGGAAAACACCTGATTGACCAACAGAACCAGTCTCCTCTCACCAGCTTACATTTCAGCAAATACAGATTGTTATGGAATTTATTGATTTCTGCTTGAAATAAATGAGAAAAGCAAATAGGAGCTTACAACACAGGTCCAGGTGAGTGCCCGCGCCGCTGGTCTGTCGGTTCCTAACAGACCTGGCCACTGCTGGTGCTTCCCAGTGTCTCTCTCTGGGTCCTTTAACTTTCCAACAGGCTCTCCGCTGTCCCTCATCTGTCGTCCTACGTCCTGCCATAGCTCCGAGGCTTCCTGGGCTAAGTGGCTCATGGCCTTGCTTGGGGGCAGGCGTTCATGCCAATCTGTAACTGTGCCCTTCCTGCGACTCTGAAACGAGCGGCCCGCATTTTCAATCTGGAAAGCATTTTAATTTCATAAATATTACAGCACTTCTGTAGTATATTTTAGGAAATATCCTTCAGTCTAAACAAATCAAGCCCCGTTTTATAACTGGCTTATTTTGCAAAAACTCAGAACAGATTAGAGATCTTAACGAAAGGATCTCTTAAATGAAACGATGTGATCTATTTCATGAAATCATCAATCTTAAGCACGAGGAGGAATAAACAATCCATAGGAGGAACAGCATTCATTCTTCCTGGATTTTCACTGCGTGTTGTTAAATCACAGCACGACAGTCCTCCACCACCACCCTTTCTTGCTAACACCCAGAGTCCAACCCCAAGCAGAGGGCCTCCTTGAAGCGGCCTGGTGCCAAGTGTGAGCCTGAGACAAGGATGCTCAAGTTACCAACACTGGGAGGGGCTGGGCGGGGGCCGGAACAGAACTACTCAGACCGTCCATGCTTCTCCTCACCTGCCTGGACACTTACTACAAAGAGGAAAGGCAACTTAAAGGTGTGTTCTAGATGCAGCATCAGTGTAGTATCTCTCTTCTTTGTGCTTTAAGGAAGATGCTTTGTGCTTAACGCATTCATCTGCTGATAGGACAAACCGTTCTAAAGGACAGAAACGATAGTCTTTGTAAATAATACTGAATCTGTAACCCTTGGATGTTACTGTCCAAATGCCAGGTTACTCATTACCTCTACGTATACAGTCAACTAGCTGTAGCATCTAGTTTTTACTTACTCTGATGGATGAATTGTAAGGGTTAAGTTTTACTATAGTAATATAACGTGTTTGGCAGATGATCTGCTTAAATGGTTAACACATCTGTGGTTTTTGAATATTGCTGTAATACTTGAACATTTCATTACAAGTCAAAACTAAGGAAATTAAGAATGCGATTCCCACATGGTGGAAAACAAACTCTGAAGTGACTTTGGATTTAGCATTGACATAAATGGAAAACTGTTGGTTTCTACAGAAAAGAAATAATTAAAGCATGATCTGGGAGCAAAGGCACAGCACTACCACTTCACATGGGAGATAAAAGTTCATTTGTCTTGTCCTTAAAATTTCTAAGCCCTATATGAAACTGTCCAAATATACAAAGCTCAATAAACTACTAGCAACATAGAGTGTAAAGTCAAAGTAGTTATTACATTTTAAAAGAGACGCCAGGTCCTCAAAGACCAATGGCCCCGAACCAGAAGTCTCCACAAGGACTGTGCAGGAAGAGCCGGTCTTCCTGGGCCCGGGGCTGCTGCTCCTGAGGGTTTCTCGAATCCTTGCCCCCAGTCTCCACTGCAGTGGGTCTCTGGTTCTACAGGTGACATCTTTGCCAAGTCCACTCTGACGCTCTGTAACCAGGACACCTGCTGAAGAAGTGTGTCACCTGCTCCCAGCGGGAGACGACTGACAGTCTCAGGGGTCAGTACCAGCTGTTATTTAGTGGCCCCTGAAACAAAGCTCACACTCCACTGCTTTGCAGTGGTCTCAGGGACAACCTGCATCAGCAGCTTAGAACTTAAGATTCAACGACAAAGTACTCTGTCCTTTACTTCCTGTGCATCAGATTTCATTATGTATTCTTGATCTGCCTTTAAGCAACATGGTGTTGCTTGGCTTCAGTGAAAAATATATTGCCTTTTTTTTCTGCCCATATATAATGGCACACATTTTTTCCTGCTTTCACCAAGGTTTCCCTCGATAATGAAATGGTGTAGTTCTGCATAAAACCTGGGTCTGGATGTCATCTTCTCATAAAAACATTTTTTGGTGCCTTCCGTGAGAGCTTGCTCCACTTGACCTAAGGGCGTGAGCTGCAGCCTACAACTATGTTCCAGCACTTGCCACAGAAAACTGTGGTGGGACAGAGCCAGAAGGAAGCAACATCCACCAGGCCAGGCCCTCTGATTCCAGTTGGGTGACTTGATTTTTTTCCCCATTAGTGAGAGGGCAGGAAAATAAGCTTTAAATTCAAAAGGCTGGAATACAAATAGAAATACACACTCTTCCTTCACTTGACCTGCCTCCCTTCCTGTGCTGAGGTTAATTTACCAGGACGTAGCCACTGTGCTGTGGGTCCACAGCCTCCAGCATTTCACAATCGAAGAGTCCGGGGAACTCAGAGAGGGCTAGAGGGTCGTAGCTGGAGGGGGCCTCCTGCAGTCCTGAGCTCCTGGGACAGTCTGGAGTTGCTATGCCGCTCTGCTGGGCTCCATCCATGGGGTACTGACAGGCAGCGGCATAGTCTGGCTCAGGGGAGGCAGCACCTGGCAGCTCACAAGTCTGATAGGAGAACTGTAAAGGTGCTGGGGCAGCTCCCGACTGTTGTGGTGGCGGAGGTGGTGGCGGCGGCGGTGGTGGCTGCTGCTGCAAGTGCACGGGCAGTGGAGGAGGAGCCCGGGGACCAGGCGAGGAGGGCAGGGGCTGCAGCCGCATCTCCTGGTACTGGCTGAGGAAAGGGCTGTACTGCATTTGCTCAGAAGCAGGCTCCAGGACGGGGCTCAGGGGCTGGGTCAGGCTGAATGGCGATGGCTGCTGTGATGGCGGTGGCGCCTCCTGGTGGGGAAGGGGCAGCTGCTGACTCGGTTGTGGGTATGAGTTCTCTGCTATCTGCATCTGATTAAAATATGCCTGCAGCTGAGACTGTTTCTGGAGGAAGAGTCGCTTCTGCTGGAGTCTAAATTGGCAATACCAAAGAAAGAATTTTAAATCCTCTTCAGTGATGGCTATTTTAATGTAATTTTTTATTTATTTATTTATTTATTTATTTATTTATTTATTTATTTTTCCCCAAAGCCCCAGTATATAGTTGTATGTCGTAGTTGCACATCCTTCCAGTTGCTGTACGTGGGATGCGGCCTCAGCATGGCCGGAGAAGCGGTGCGCCGGTGCACGCCCGGGATCCGAACCCCGGGCCGCCAGCAGCGGAGCGCATGCACCCAACCGCTAAGCCACGGGGCCGGCCCTGGCTATTTTAATGTAAATCCAGTATCAGTCATTAGCTTTAGTCCCCCCACTTCTCTCTTCCCCATGGCAGAAGAAAACAAAGGCATGGTAGGAACCAATTGTGTCTGGTTTCTTAACCCCCCAATTCTGACTGATCCCTCAGTGCTCAAGTGAACACTAATTCATTTTCTCTAACACTCTGAGTTTTTCTCCCTATGAAGCGAGAGACTGATTTCCCATCTGGAGTGTTCTGAAGGTGGGGTAACACCTTGGCCTCTGTGGGTGTCTGTAGGCTGACGGATTAGGAAAATTCTACCTTGGCCACGCTGCTTCTACTAGCAAGGCCTGGGGCAGGAATTACTGCAAGGGAGGATGGAGGCCTTCTCTGTAGTATAACCCACTTAGACTGCATTAGGTCACAGATTCTGAAAGCTTAGGTCTATTCATAACCCAAAGGGGAAACGAAGAAAAGGAACACAAAGCACATTTCGGGCTGCTATTCCCCGACAGGTCCATATTCTACAGACACTGGAATATCTGCACTGGCGATCAGGTCTTGAAACCTATTTTCCTTGTAGAGGCAAACACCCAGGGGAGAGGACAACACACCCGGCATTCCTAAGTCTTCCACAAAGAAAGTGACTTCTTTGGCCAAAGACCCTCTCTCACCTGTGTTCCTGCAGCTGCTGTTCAAGGCTCCGTGGTGGTTCTTTACAATAAAGCTGACAGGTGTTCTGGGCTTTTGACAGGAGGCTGGGCTTCTGGAAGAAGAGAAAAATAATACAAACATAACAATATGTTGTCATCTAGAGTGCAGTCGTTACACTGTACTTCTGCCTGGAGTAGAAGCCAAGTGTGTCCTCCAGAATCCATGCAGAGTGAAGGGACTGACACTTGCTCACTGAGACCCTGGCAGAGCCTTGTGCCCAGTAGCATCGGGTCAGCAGGCCGGGATTGTCTCAGCTCTAATCTACTTCAGTTTTCCATTTCTAAAAGTCCTCTAGGACTGTGAGGTTCGTGGAGATTAAAAACAATGAGAAAAGCGGAGTTAAGTGTTGATAGCAACGGCCACAACACTTGCTGAATGAACGAATGATTGATTCTTTATGGGATCTATGTTATATCATTTTTAAAGATTTTCTGGCACCCATGTAGAAAGTTGATATTAAAATTTTGCTGACTTGAGATTTCCACTTTATTTATTATTCATTAGGAGGCATAACATTAGAAGCAAAGAAGCCAGGTTTCCCTTCCTACCACTCAGTAGTGTTGTCCTCTCCTGGGGCCTGAGGACAAATTCTTTTTTGCTGCCAACAGAGAGCATAAGGCTAAGTCTGAACATGTTTTTAGAAACTACAAGCGCAGAGTCAAACCCACCTGCCTATGAGGAATCAAGCAGCTACCCTAAAAAAATACCAAGCAAAACAGGTTTCTGCCATGCAGAAAGGCCGATTCTGCATGGACGAGCACAGTGAGCTGCAGGAACAAGGGGAGGCTCCCACCTGGAGTCTGTGCTGCAGGTACTGGGCTTCCAGGCCTTGCCGTTGGGAGAGCTGAGGACGCACACTGCTGGCGAGAGCAGACACACTTTTCTGCTGCTGAGAAACTTCCTCCTGAGGGGCAAGGGGGTGAAAACCTTTTCAGTTCTCCATGTGGGAGAAAGTTTCAATTCTTAGTTTAAGCACCTTGGCAAATGTCCAAGAAGAACTCCAACTTCGCAAGATATAATACTCCAAGCTCTTTACTTAACTAGGAGGCTGAGGGTTAATCACTTTGCAGAAAATGTACACATGTATTATCTGCAGTAAACGATTACCTAGTCAGCACTGGAGCAAAGGCTCTTGATGTCCTCAGGAGGCCATTACCTTCACGTGGGCATCAAATGCTATAATATCCCTAAGGCACTGACAATAGGCTCAAAATAAAATTTATTGGATAAATAGTAATATTTTTTGTATTTTTAGCATAAATAATCCACTTATAATAGTTAATTACATGATACCACATCAAAGGTACTGGCAACAAGCTTCTCGTTTCTGTGAAGTTTATTATTTTTAATTTGTGTGTGTGTTTGGGGGAAGAGTTCAAGGGAAACTATAAGAGGTAATTCATATCAAATCTTCCCTATGAACTAAACACAGCTTGAGAGCGTCTAGGCCTCCACATGGTACTGATCACCCAGGGCCAGCGTGGACGGGTCTAACCTGTCAGTGGCAGGTGGCAGCAACAAGAAAAACTTTCAGTTTGTGGGCTTTCCAAAAGAACCTGTTTGCTCCAGGACTGGAATAAATCCTCTAAATGAAATGATGCATCTTCAGGACAAACTCATGCCTCATACTCACAGAGCCACTGTGGGAAGGGCCCAGAGCACCCACCTGAGGGGAACTGCTAGCAAGGTCCTGGAGCTGAGGAGCAGCTGAGGCCAAGTTAGGGTCTGCCTCTGATCCTATTTGTTCATACAGCAACTGCACTTTGTTTAGCTCTAGGATTCCTTTGGTTCTAGCCAGATTTTGAAGATGTTGTCTAAATGCTACAATTCCTGAAAGAAAGAACAGTGACCAAACAGTTTAAATAAAACACAAGGCCTTCCAGTGACCACAGGGGTAAAACCAACGTGGCAATAAACACCCTCAAGTCCTACAATATAAGAGTTTTAAAAGCCAGAAGAGAGGGCAGTCACTCACCTTGGGTGAGGGAGGTATCCGATGCCCTGCGGCCCTCTCTGAAGCTCACTGGCGACCTGTTGTGGGCCTCTCGTTTCTGGGAGCTCAGAGCCTGCATGGCTGGGTTGGCAGGTCTCAGGCTTATGAAGGGAGACGTCATGCGGGGTGACGGCTGATTGGCTAACATAATGTCCTTAAGGGAAGGGTTGTCCTCCAGAAAGTTCAGGTCCCTCTGAACAGACCCCATATCATACTCAGAGTCCACACTGTCAAGGGAGGGGTTGTCACTCATGGAGAAAATTTTCCCTTTAAGAGACAAACAAAACAAAACAACAGATATGACCAACAGCAAGTAGCATCTCCTTTGAACATTAGATACAAAGCATAATGAGCTTGAGTTTTCACAGCTGCAGTATCCTTACTCTCCAACCAAAACATCTTTTCAGAACCTTTCTACATGTCAATTTAATCAGCTTTGAATTTAGTGAGGAAAACACTCCAGAACATGTACCCATAAGACCTTTGCCACTCTCAAAGAGCCAGAGTCCTTCATGAATCGCACAGCACTCAGATGAATCCTGGGAGTTGGGGGGCCAACTCAGAGACATTTCATTTAATCTTTGTCAGCTGCTGAGCAGGCCTAAGCCGACAGCCTGCTGAATGTGGTCCATCAAGGAATAAGACATACACTACATTCTAGAAACTGGTTGGTATCATTACTGTCTCTTGGGAATTGCAATAAGAGTTGATGCTGTGAAGATGTAACCTGGTGCTTACTGGATGTCATACCTGAACCAGGCATCACGACCAGCTGATTGGTCACTTCTGACAGAGTGTGCCGTCTCTGCCCACTGCGGGTGGACTGGAACGCGGCAAAGGCCTGACTGGGGTCCTCCTCAGTCTCTCCTTCTGCCTCCAACCCTTCATCAATGGAGGTCTCCATCATGTTGCTGGGCAATGACTGGCACCCCTTCCTCACCAGGACAGGAGGCACAGGGTCCAGCAGACAGCCATTTACCTAAACATCAGTGTGAGAGGAAACTCTAAGTGACTGCTCTGCTGAGACGTTAGAAAAATCCACAAAGGAAAAACTGTCGACTTGTAGCAAACTAGAAATTAAGTAAAATATTAAAAATGTACATATTTGTTACTAATGACAACATGTAGATTAGAAGTCAAGGCAAGTCAACTGCAGTACTTAAGAGACAGAAGCCCATTATGACCCAAATTGGCACTGCGTCTCAGGTTTCTCTGAGTCATCATTATTACAATAAACAATTTTTTTAGTGGTTTCCAGATGAATAGGGGTATACTAGCTTGAGGCCTACCAGTTATTTTTTTTAAATAGGGGAAACAAAGAGGGGGAAGATGAGATTTAAAAAAAAAAAAACACCTGCATGGCTCATAGCTAAGAAAAAAGAGTAGTCACCAGCATTCTTCTCATTTTCAACCACAAAACATACTGGAAGGTTCTAGACATACTTTTATGTTCATAATTTAAGTACCTGCCCATTTGATTTAGTCTTTAGTTGGTTCTATGTGCCTGAGGAATGGAAAAAAGGATTCTTTAAAGACAGACTGATACCACAAAAAGGACTGAAAAAAAACCCAAGTGGCAAACAGCCAAAGCCTTCCATTATAGAATAACAAATGACTCACAGGCCCAAAATTCCAGCAGAGGTTAATGAGCACCAGTGCACCGAATCCTCTCTCCTCCAGCAACACACACAATATCTATGGTTCTATCCCACAGGGAGGAGCTGGGCACACTCCTGAGCGAGAACTCTGCCTTCCTCTGCAGTTGCCAAGCAAACCACCTAATGGCAGGCAGAGACAGCAGACAAAGGGGAGCGGTGGTTGCCAGTTCTTCTGGCTGGTAAAAGCCCCAATGGGGAGGCAATTATTTACCTCATTACCTTAACTATTCCCCTGTGGAAATCTATCCGTTTTCTCCTATGAATAGCTGCTCAGGAACAGCCAGTCATAAGACGCTGAGTTCTAAGCAGTACTTTCACCTGGAATACACTGGGTAGAGCTATTGTTTCCTTTGGAAGCAGGAGAAGCTCATGTATGTGAGAGGTGACGTGGGACATCCCTGTGCCAGACACAGGAAACTTTCCTCTTATGGCAACCAATCTGAAGGCATGGCAAAGCCCTTTATTTGGAGACGGAGACTTGGGTGACTCAGATCTTTGTTTGCTTGGGGGAGGGGACAGTTATTCCATAAAAACCGTTCTGGGGCTGTAGCCATTATTTGGATAAGGTAGCTAATGCATTATAGGGTTTTAAAGTGATGAGTGGTCATTTAAAGGAAGAGTGGCAAATGCTTTCCTCCCAGGCTAAGACCAATCTTCCCCATTGCACCAGAAAACAAAAACTCTGAAATCTGGCCAGCAACACTTATGCTCCCTGGGCCCTTCCTCAGATAAGTGTTCCCTTTTTGATACACTTCATAGTTTTCCGTAGAAAAGAATGGCTGTTTGGGAACTTATATTCATACCTCTAGGTTCCTTAACTGTCTACTAATACAATTTTCTAAGACTAGCCAGGGATGATTTAGAAATGAACAAAGCAGCAGAGAAAGCACTATTATTAAGTATCTACCGAGCATCTTTACACTTATAGACTATGTCAAAATTTTATCAGATATTTCTTGCAGTATAGCCTTAAAACAAGGTTCTTTTTTTCCTTGCACTTTTTTTCCTTAATAGAGAAAAGTTACCTTTTTCTGAGTACTCAAATAACCTTGCAGTCCTGCTAAATCTACAATTTTTTCTTAAATTGTCTGCTTATAAATTTATATCCTCATCTAGACTACAAGAGAAATTATGTCTTTCATTTAAAAATATTTGCTGAATTCAATTTTATCCTGGGTCAGGTAAAAAACTATGATCTGTTTTTTCAGATGATTAAATCAGAAAGCACTGTGGGGGCCTACTCATAGTGAATAGGTGTGAACACCTTCAGCTATAAGTTCATTTCCTGAAACAGGTGATAATCACGCCACCCTCGCCTGCCAATTTACCCAGGGACTTGATAGAACAAATTCAGCTCTAGGATTTTGTGATTGAAATATTGGGCTGATCTACGTAGGTAACCTAAGCTGCTAGAAATAAGATCTTTTGCTCTAAGAAATACCTAGGCTAACTGTAAATTACAGGACTTCAAAATACAATGTGGGTGAAATGTACAATTTTCCAATACATTGTTTTTATCTTTCTTTGAGCTCAATCAGTCACTTCACTTCTAAGAGACCTCATATGCAATAGGTAGTATACACACGGGAGTCAAATTCTCAGAAACTCCACTCTAACTGATAACACCCCTGAGCCTACCATAAATATAAGACCCTGGCACAGAAGATTGGTAGACTCTTATGGACTGAATCTTGTGTCCCTCTTGAAGTCATATATTGAAGCCCTAACCCCCAGTGTGGCTGTATTTGGAGGTGGGGCCTCTAAGGAAATGTAGTTAAATGAGGTCATAGGGGTGGGGGCCTGATCTGGCAGGATTAGTGTCCTTTTTTTCTTTTTGTGAGGAAGATCAGCCCTGAGCTAACGTCCATGCCAATCCTTCTCTTTTTGCTGAGGAAGACTGGTTCTGAGCTAACATCTATTGCCAATCCTCCTCCTTTTTTTCCCCAAAGCCCCAGCAGATAGTTGTATGTCATAGTTGCACATGCTTCTAGTTGCTGTATGTGGGACGTGGCCTCAGCATGGCCAGAGAAGTGGTGCGTCGGTGCGCGCCCGGGATCCAAACCCGGGCCGCCAGTAGCAGAGCATACGCACTTAACTGCTAAGCCACGGGGCCGGCCCCAGGATTAGTGTCCTTATAACAAGAGACACCAGAAAGCTCTCTCTGCTCCATGTGAGCACAGAGGAAAGGCCATGGGAGGACATAGTGAGAAGGTAGCCCTCTACGAGCCAGCAAGAGTCCTCACCAGAAATCAAATTGGCCAGAACCTTGATCCTGGACTTCTAGCCTCCAGAACTGTGAGAAAATAATTTCTGTTGTTTTAAGCCACCCAGCAGCCTGAGCAGACTAGTACAGTAGACCTGTGCACAATACTAGCCAGTGAGCTCCCAGTGGAGGCGAGGAGTGTGCCTTATTTAATTTGTATCCTGGGAGCCTGGCCAAGTCTGGCATGTATTGCGGAGGTGCTGTAGGCTCAAGCCCAGCTCCTCAGCCTCAGCTCCACCACTTATTAGCAAGTTGCTTAACTTCTAGAAAGCTCAATTTGTTTTCACTTGTTGAATGGAAGTGAAGTTGTTTGGGAGGATTAAGTAAAATATTGTATCTATTATTATTATTTCTTGACCAAAGAGAATGCTTTATAACAATAAAAATTTAAAAAGCATGAGACTAAAACTACATTTTCTTTTAAAGCATTTTTACCATCTTGAGGCAAATTAAAATAAACAAATAACCAGGTGAGGAAGGAAAGAACTGGATAACCCCAGTTCTAGTAATTTATCCTAATGAAATAATCAGAGGTATAAGTAAAAGATTTAGACACAAGGATATTCACCTGAAGCATATATGAGGATGCAAAAAAACTGAAGTACCTGATGTCCAAAAATAGGAAAGTAGTTAAATAAGGGTACAACTAATACAATATATTAGGCAGTTGTTAAATATAACTCATGCTTTCAAAGAAGATTTCATGATATGGGAAAAATGCTCATAATGTTGTATTATGTAAAAGCAAGACACAAAATTACATATAATAGAATACAATTTTGTTTTCACTAGTCTATCTACTTCCTGAGCCTCTCTACACTCACCTACCCACCCATCCATCCATCCGTCCACCCACCCATCATCCATCCATCCATCTATCACCAACTCTAAGGAAACATGCCAAAATATGTTTATCTTTGGGTAGTGGGATTATGGATAAATTAATTTTTTCTTTATCCTTTTCTGAATTTTCCAGGTGTGATTCTGATTGGTTTTATTTATAATTTAAAAAAATAAAACCAAAGTTAAAAAATTCAAATTCAGAAGTAAAAGTGCAATTTCTCCCCTTTACAAAGTAGCCTTAGAGGTTAACACTATTAAGAGTTTTTGATGTATATCCTTTTCAGACCTTCTCCTACGTATACTACCTTTATAATATGAAAAAGGTATAAAAATGTAAATAGAGGGCCGGTCCCGTGGCTTAGGGGTTAAGTGTCCGCGCTCCGCTACTTGCGGCCCGGGTTCGGATCCCAGGTGTGCACCAACGCACCGCTTGTCCAGCCATGCTGAGGCTACGTCCCACATACAGCAACTAGAAGCATGTGCAACTATGACATACAACTATCTACTGGGGCTGTGGGGAAAAAAAAGGAGGAGGATTGGCAATAGATGTTAGCTCAGAGCCGGTCTTCCTCAGCAAAAAGAGGAGGATTAGCATGGATGTTAGCTCAGGGCTGATCTTCCTCACACACACACAAAAATAATAAAAATGTAAATAGACATGGAACGCCTCTACTACACTAGCATTTTCACAGTTTAGCCTCACAGTTAAACTGGATAGCCTTCTGCTATCCAGCCATGAAGGTGGTAACTTAGAAAATCCTTTTATTATAATCTCTAATAAAATGTTAAAAGTGATTGAAATGTGTAAGCGGGTGTGTGTGTAAAATTCATCATTCCCAAAGAAACCCTCAAAAGAGAAAGATCGACCCTACAGGGTTTGTGCATTTGCCCAACGGTCTCTGTGTCACCTGAGGGTTTCAGTTACTGCTCAGGGTTGGGTCAGAAAGGTGCTATTTTTTGGAGAAACCCCAAACCAATGTTTCAATGCAGACTCCCTAAGAGATTTTACTAACAGTTTTAAGTTGTAGTTGAAGACTTCTGGGAGGGAAGGAAAGGTGAAATCTCTGCCACAACACTTGCCACCAATTGAGAGTAGAAATGAATGAGCAATACATGCAGTTGTGAAACATCTTTTAGAAGACAACAAATGAGTGTTATAGTGAATGGATATGAAGCAATATGAACAACAAGGAATTGTACTTCTGTCTGATAGTTTTCTGTGTGTGCATTTATTTATGGGCCCCAAAGAAAGAAGTATAGAGAAGGCAGAGGGACAAGCATTTTTGCTGATGTAAATGAAATAGGCCACAAATAAGACAAGTGGACGTCTATGGCCTAAGTGACAGGGTGGCACTGCCAGTGTGGGTGGCCAGTTCCAGCGTGGCACTGCTCTTCCTACAAATGCAAATACACCATCTAGCTCTGTCTATATCTTTCACAAAATCATTCATTTCCTGTCTGTTTCCTAGTTACGGTAACAATCACAAGCTTTAAAAATAGCTTGCCCTATATAATACGGCAGACAGGGCCCAATCTGTGTTTCGGGCCTGATGCCCTCACAGACAAGCTTTTAGCAGACTGTATTTTAATTTTTTCAAGGGAATTGGATCTTAAATGAATTATGTTGCCCCAATTTATGTCTAAATTTCTGAGTGAGAATGTAGTAGCAGTTTATGAGGTTACTGAACATGCTAGGCAAGCATAGGCAGAGAAAACAGACTGTCCACAGGAAGTGGCCTTGTCCCGAGGGACATGGACACTAACTCCTTGTGGTTACCAACTCAGCTTAACACCTGCCTGTGACAGCCTAGCATCAGCCCGCCCTTGACTACGCTCTAGCTCAACTCAGCATTTAACTTCTGAACCAGCTCTACCTCCAGAGCTCCCTATTTCTGCAAATGGCACCCACCCTCCCTATCATCTAGGCTCCAAATACTGTTACCAGCTTGGACTTCTTCTCTCTGGACCCTAATATTGATCACTTTTATCCATACAATCTCATTTATATCATCCCCTCCTCTCCAGATTTACGAGCACTATCCTAGTTCAAGGCCCTCATCATCTAGTTGCTGGATACATGCTCTAACCTTCTGTTGTACTTGTCACCAGTCTCTCCCTTATCCAATGCAGGCTATGTACCCTCCCAGGCTAATTTGTGAAGCACAACATGGATCATAGTGCTTCCTTGATCAAAAATCTTCAAGTGTTGGGGCAGGCCCGGTGGTGTGATGGTTAAGTTTGCACGCTTCGCTTTGGTGGCCCAGGGTTCATACGTTTGAATCCTAGGCGTGGACCAATGCACTGCTCAACAAGCCATGCTGTAGTGGCACCCCCATATATGAAATAGAGGAAGATGGGCACAGATGTTAGCTCAGAGCCAATCTTCCTCAGCAAAAAGAGGAAGATTGGCAACAGGTGTTAGCTCAGGGCCAATCTTCCTCACCAGAAAAAAAAAAGAAAAAAAAAAAACCCTTCAATTGTTTCCTACTACCTTGGAGAGGTCCATTTGAAAAAACTCTTTTTGACAATGAAACGCATTCCCACATTGAGAACCCTAGCCTAGAGAAAAAGTCTACATCCCTTGGCTTGCCATTCAAAGCTAAGCTACTCGTCTTTATGTCGGACGACTTCTTGTCACATGCCCTGCTCCTCAGGCGCACTGAGCTACCGCTCTGACTTGGATGGACCGAGGTTTCCTGACGTTTGCTCTTGCTCAGGTTTCTCCCTCCACCGAGATATCACTCCCTAGTTTCCATCCACTCTGATTCTGCTCATCTCTCAATTCCTAGCTCTGACAGTTAACCCAGAGACTTTGCTGATCAAACCAGCTAAAGAAACTCCCCTTTGCCTCCTTCTAGTCTTGCAGCACTGTGATTTATAGCTCTTTAAGGGACCAATTATATTTTATCAATTTATTCAACACCCGGCACATTGTCTTTATGCATCATGTCTCTTCCTCTGGACTATAAACTTTGAGGCAGAGCTCACGTCTGACTCATCTTTTTAATACCTAAAGAGGCCAAAATGATAGGAAACCAATATTTCATTGAGTATCTACAATCTGCCTAGAACCTCGCACATAGTATCTCAATTAGTCCTCACAACAGTCTCATAAAGTTGGTATTCTCATTTTACACAAGAGAAAATGGAGGTTCAAAGAAGTTAGTCACCTTGCCCAAGTTTACATAGCTAGTAAAGAACAGTCTATTTTGAACATACTCCAAGACATATGTTCTAAGACCTGCCCAGTAACAGGATTCTCTGTACTGTACTTGATGCTAAGTATATAAAACACATATTAGAAGTTAAATAAACACCCATTAAATGAGAGAAGCTGTCATCTTCCATATACAAAAAGCCAACTTTATGCAGTACACCAGGATAAACTCATCTCCTTTAAGCATGTTCAAACTGGACAAAAAAAGATGTTTAATTGACCAAAAAAGACGGCCCATCATTTTGCAGCTGTAGCACACATGGCAGAGGAGAGGCAGTGATAACACAGACAAAGCTCAATTTAGCACAGGAGTTGAGCCAAAGTACAACACTCGTGGGCCAAACTGAAGTCTCCAGCCAAGCCGCAAGCTCAGAGTCTCTTAAACCCATCCGTACCTTTGGAGTGTCGACACACTCTTCTTCCATAAAGGCTGCTTCCGCCTGACAGCCAGGTGCTGGAAATGAGAAGGCCTCCACATTGGATGCCTGTGGGAGGTGGGTAGATCGCATCAGTCGCACGTTCGGCGAATGTACGGTCAGGGGGAGCCCCACAGTTTGTGCCTGTAAATGTAGCAAGAACAGACAGTTTGGGAACATTAATACTTTTCTATATAAATATACAAAATTCTTGGAATAAAGTAATTCTTCCTGGTGCAAAGTAAGGATAAATTTTTATTTGTTAAAAACCCTACAAAAGATTTGATGAAGTATGTATATGACACAGGTAATGATATGAAACAGTCTCAGCAATCCATTATTCTGAGAGAGGTTGTACAGAATTTCACTGCTGTTCCATGATGAGGTGCATAACTTTCACAGAGATGACAAGAAAGCTAGTCTTCGTAAGGAATCTACAAATGCTCTTTTTTTCAATTCAACAAACATATATCGTCTATATCGTTAAATATATTACTCTGGAAAGATACAAAGAAGAATAGAAAAGTCCTTGCCTCTAGGAGCTCAAAATTGGACCAGGGACAGATACACACATACACAACTAACTATAACACAAAGTACTCTGCAATAAGTGCTATCTACCTACCTATCTGCTTTTTTTTTTTTCTGGGGTGAGATGGTATATATTTCTTGGCAAAGGTGTGCGTGAAGAGGAAGAAAAGAGAAGCAGCAGTTACTTGAAAGTGACAGGCATGTCCTTCTTTCAAGGAGATGCACAGCCTGAACACAGCCTGCTGGCCCAGTGGAAAGAGATGCTTCTGGCTGAACAAGTTATATTCTTGAAGTCAACCTACTATAGAAAGCTCCAGGGTTTTAAGTCCATTCTTCATGTCATTTGTTAAGGACTCTAAGTAAACAAGTATTACAAACTCTTCTTTTAAAAAATCATTTAAAAGCGAATCTTTCTTTACAACAATTGGCAAGGATTTTAAAGATGAAACTGGCGGATAATCCTTTTCTCCCCATCTCTTCAAAACTAGTAGAATAATTTATTAGATGCCTTTTGAACATAACAGACATTGCAAAACATCTGAGGGAACAATCATCAGACTAGTTTCTAAAAGGCAGAGGAATGGCCTACATTTTTCCTGCTATAATCACTTCAAGGGATATAGGATGGTGAGTTTTAAACTCAAACAAACAAAAAGGAACAAAGTGGTATGATTCCAGCTTCTCCTCTCCCAAGACCTGGGTTTTATTCCTGGCTCCATCATGTACTAATTGTGTGAACTTAACCAGGTTACCTAATCTCTCTGAATCTTATTTACTTCACCTGTAAAGAAGGGCATAATACCTACTTCACAGTGAAGTTAGGATTCCAAAGGTAACATGTCAAGTCCTTCACTCAGCAATGTTAATTCCTCCTTTCTCCTTCTTTCTAAAGTCTTAAAATGATAACAGGAATTTAATATAGGAATTAGACTGTAAAATGAATACACAGGTTTGTTCTCAGATACTATCTAATGGAGACCAGTTAAAATTTCAGGTTGATGTTTTTCAACGATGGGGGGATATGTTAGAAATATATTTTATATTTGAATATACTCTGAATATATTTAGAATATGCTTTATATTTGGTATATTCCAATATTAACATCATTAGATATACTGCATGTGATAAAGAATAAAATAGCAATAGCAAAGTGTTGGTATTATATGGATGGTAAAAACAAACAAACAAAATACATTGTATACTATTCTGAGCATGAGAAAGAAATAGCTTTTCTTATATCATTATTCCTCAGGCTTATATCCTGGGCCACTTTTGAGACTAAACAACTTTTTTTTCCTTTCAAGCATTAGTCATTCAATTTTTTTTAGCCACCATGTCACAATGTAAAATTTACACTTCCTAATAAAGTGTATTTCATACATTCTTCTTACCCTTATTATCAGCTTTTCTATCAAAGGATAAGGCTGAACTTTGATTTCTGTTTCCCAAGTTTATTAGACTGTCCCTTCTATATGAAAGCAGTCTAAATTATTAGGGCAAAGCATTACCTGAAGATACTGCACTGGAAATGAGATACCAACATGACAACTACGATGTACGTCCCTTCTCAGTCCCTGCCTCTTATTAGCTGGGACTTTTTAAATGGCAGGATCATGCTGTGCGAGACCAAGCATAACACATTCTCCTTGACAACTTTCACATCCAACCTGGGCTACAACAACTTACACGTGAACTCGGTAAGGGCAGAGGAATAACACATTTTATTGTGACAATCACTTCATAGGAAATAGGATGGTAGGTTTTAGGGGTCCGCTTTTTAGGATTCTTGCAATCACGGAGGGGATTAAAGAAGTCTCTTTGGAACAAGGTAGGGTATAAATATTCAAACGGCACGCTCAGTACTACAGAGCTGACTAAAACACACGTTATAATAAACAGATGGTTTATTCATATTCCAATGAAGCAGAAATTACCAGTTTCATCAAGAGTGGCAATAAACAATGATCATGTCCAAATAATTGTAATGACTTTTTAGACCATATATTTATTGTCTTGAATCTCTTCTTTTGACTTTGTGCTTTCCAGAACCATTAAAATGAAAATAATGTTCTCTCCTATGCAAAAATCTTTACTGCTCCAATAGGAATAAGCTTGTTATGGACAGAATTGTGCCCCCCTCCCCTATCTATATGTTGAAGCCCTGACCCCTAATGTGACTGTATTTGGAGAGACACTGCCTGTAAGAAGGTAATTAAGGTTATATGAGGTCATCAGGGTGGGCTCCTAATCCGATAGGAGTGCTGTCCCTCGAGAAGAGGATGAGACACCAGAGATTTCTCTCTCCCCCCGTGCAGAGGAAAGGCCATGTGAGGACACAGCAATAAGGTGGCTGTCTACAAGCCAGGAAGAGAGTCTTCACCAGAAACCAACCCTGACGGCACCTTGATCTTGGGGTCCTAGCCTCCAGAACTATGAGAAAATAAACCTTTGTTGTTTAAGCCACCCAGTCTGTGGTACTCTGTTATAGTAGCCCTAGTCGACTAATACAATGCTTTTTCTTACAGTTGTGGAGGACAACCTCTAATCAGTAATTAAAGAATTGGGATGAATGTTTCATTCTTGTCTATTTACAGTTGGTGGAAACTTGGAGTGGAAAAACCGTTAAAAATGAGTAGTTAGAATTCACAAGCAAAAGGCATAACATTTTTTCTAAATAGTCGTCTGCAGTCAATTAGATGTGATATTTTCTGCACATTATATAGCAAATATAAGTACTATAAACCCATCTAAGATGGGAATCTCACTGTTTTCTAAGCAGTAACAATGGGTACTTTATCACTACCTGTAAACTCCTCAAGGGCAGGGACTGTTTCCTGGGTACCTCTGAAGCCACAGTGGCAGGAACTGGGCCTGGCACATGAGTGCTCTATTTGCTGAACTGAGCTGCTGGTATAATTTAACTAATTTTATCTTTTAGCAAACTTATGAAGTAGATATTGCTATTTCCATTTTATATTTAAGGAGGCTGGAGCTCTGAGATGCTGACTTGCCGAAGTCACTCAGTTTGGTATGGAACCCGAGGTCTGCATGATTCCACAGCTCACGTGATCTTTGCATGGGATCATGTCGTTTCTCCAATTTCTTACCGCTATATCAAGTAACAAATGACTTGCCACTTCTTTAAAAAAATAGTAGATGGGGCTGGCCCCATGGCATAGCGGTTAAGTGCATGCGCTCTGCTGCTGGCAGCCTGGGTTCGGATCCCGGGCACACACCAATGCACCGCTTGTCAGGCCATGCTGTGGCGGCATCCCATATAAAGTGGAGGAAGATGGGCATGGATGTTAGCCCAGGGCCAGTGTTCCTCAGCAAAAAGAGGAGGATTGGCATGGATGTTAGCTCAGGGCTGATCTTCCTCACCAAAAAAAAAAAAAAAAAAAAAAGTAGAATATCAAAGAATCAAAGGGAGAAGGCTCTACTAAAACTTTAAGCACATTTATATTCATAAAAACAGAGAAATCTATTTTCTTTTTATTTATTTATTTTATTATTTTTTTAAATTGATGTTTTAATGGTTTCTAACATTGTGAAATTTTGGCTTGTACATTTTTGTTTGTCCATCACCACATATATGACTCCCTTCACCCCTTGTGCCCACCCCCACTGCCCCTGGTAACCACAGTCCAGTTTTCTCTGTCCATGTGTTGGTTTATATTCCACATATGAGTGAGATCATACAGTGTTTGTCTTTCTCTTTCTGGCTTATTTCACTTAACATAATATGCTCCAGGCCCATCCATGTTGTTGCAAATGGGACGATTTTGTCTTTTTTTATGGCTGAGTAGTATTCCATTGTATATATATATACCACATTTTCTTAATCCAATCGTCAGTCGAGGGACACTTAGGTTGCTTCCACTTCTTGGCTATGGTGAATAATGCTGCAATGAACATAGGGGTGCATAAGCCTCTTTGGATTGTTGATTTCAGGTTCCTTGGATAGATTCCCAGTAGTGGGATGGCTGGATCATAGGGCATCTCTATTTTTAATTCTTTGAGGAATCTCCATACCGTTTTCCATAGAGGCTGCACCAATTTGCATTCCCACCAGCTGTGTATGAGGGTTCCTGTTTTTCCACATCCTCTCCAACATTTGTTGTTTTTTGTCTTGGTGATTATAGCCATTCTAATGGGCGTGAGGTGGTATCTTAGTGTTGTTTTGATTTCCATTTCCCTGATGATTAGTGATGTTGAGCATCTTTTCATGTGCCTATTGGCCATCTGTATATCTTACTTGGAGAAGTGTCTCTTCATTTCCTCTGCCCATTTTTTGATCGGGTTGTTTGTTTTTTTGTTGTTCAGTTGTGTGAGTTCTTTATATATTATGGAGATCAACCCCTTGTCAGATGTATGTTTTGCAAATATTCTCTCCCAGCTGGTTGGTTGTCTGTTCATCTTGATTCTGGTTTCATTTGTCTTATAAAAGCTCTTTAATCTGATAAAGTCCCACTTGTTTATTTTTTCTTTAGTTTCCCTAGTCTGGGTAGGCATGTCATCCGAAAAGATTCCTTTAAAACCAATGTCAAATAGTGTGTTGCCTATATTTTCTTCTATGAGTTTTATAGTTTCAGGTCTCACCTTCAGGTCTTTGATCCATTTTGAGTTAATTTTTGTGAATGGTGATAGCACATGGTCCACTTTCATTCTTTTGCATGTGGCTGTCCAGTTTCCCCAACACCATTTATTGAAGAGACTTTCCTTTCTCCATTGCATGTTCTTAGCACCTTTGTCGAAAATTAGCTGTCCGTATATGCGTGGTTTTATTTCTGGGCTTTCAATTCTGTTCCATTGATCTGTGTGTCTGTTTTTGTACCAGTACCATGCTGTTTTGATTACTATTGCTTTGTAGTATGTTTTGAAGTCAGGGATTGTGATGCCTCCTGCTTTGTTCTTTTTTCTTAGGAAGAGAAATCTATTTTTTAACAAGTTCAACACTAAACATTAGAATGCAAAATCTCGTAGGGAAGGGAGCATCTTCTTCAGCCCCAGTGCCTATTGTTTAGCATCCAGAAGGCACTCAAGACATATTTGTGAATGAGCACTGAAGACTTCTACTCGAATTAGATACATTTTAAGTCAAAGTAAGTAGCCTTCTATGACCACTTGGGTCAATGCATAAAATGAAAACAACTCTTGAAGTGCTTAGTAATAAAAAAATTATCAAACATAAGAAGCTATATTATATATCTGAACCCCAAGCCAAATAAAATATAATTTGAGATCTCCTAGGGAATTTGCTTCAAGTTTAGATATGAAAGGAAATCAGGTACAATAACATGTGTGTGCTCAAGAGCAATCATTTATGTAACCCCATTCCCTCACTTGTGTAATGTTTAAGAAGAATGAAGAGACTTGGGAGGGAAAGCCTCCTACAGCACTGGGTACCTTCCTGCTTCCTATCCTTTTGCCTGGCAGGATTTTCAAGAGGGAAGGGGTACCACCACAGCTCACTAATACTACCCAATTTTTGTTGTTGTTAGTGCCATCCAGACGATTCCAACTCCTAGTGATAGCAGAGCAGAACCCTGCCTGGTCTTTGCACACCATCCTCTCACCTTCTGGTACTATTCCAGACAATGCTCCGCTGCTATTCGTAGGGTTTTCATGGACAATTGTTCATAAGTAGGTGGCCAGGTCCTTCTTCCTGGTCTGTCTAGTCTGGAAGCTCCACTGACACCTGCCCACTATGGGTGACCCTGCCGGTATTCGAAATACTGGTGGCATAGCTTTCAGCATCACAGCAACATGCAGCCGCCACAGTGTGTCAACTGACAGATGGGTGGTGTGGTTCCCTGACTGGCCGAGGCAGTGAAAGTGAGGAATCTTAACCACTAGACCACCAAGGCTGGCATACCCCAAATTAGAGATTCTCATTTTATCCCCCTCCTCTCTGTGTTGAAAGCAATACCATTCAACTCTGAAGGATTCCAAGAGTGCTCAGAGATACTCTTACCCAAATATCTGGAACTTTATTGATATATTATTTTACCCACATTAGTATCAATGTTCACATTATTGTATATATTAAGGTATGTATAACAAAGTATACCATTTGCCTATAAAATCAAGAAGATTTTAATTTCCTTGGTTTTTTTCCCCCACATATTCTGTAGAAACCAACACAAAATTCTATTACAATCCTATAAATTTTGTAAAACTGCGAAATGAGAAATGCAAAGTCAAAACTCTTCTGCTCTTACTTGCGCTTTGAACAAAGTTAATACTCACCAGAGTAGATGGAAACCCTAATAGGTCATATGAACGCACCATTCCTCTTCCTAACCTCTATATAGATGATTTCCCAACTCCCTTTAGCCCCAGCCTCTCTCCAGGGATCTAGACATTCTTCCTTCTAAGCAAATGAGTCAATGCCGTCACTATTCTCTCAGCCTTGGGCTCAAGAATAGGATCACCTCTAACTCACTGTTGCCCCTTACTCCCCAACATTTATTTACTACTTTATACAACAAACACTTACATAACACTGTTCTAAGTGCTGCACAATTATTAACTAATTTAAACATCATAACATCCTATAATTATCCCCATTTTACAGCTTGGAAAACTGAGGCACAGAAAGACTTTAAGTAACTCTTTTAAGGTAACGTAAAACTTTTAAGCAGGAAATGACAGAATCTGGGATTTGCACCAGAGTCTCTGCTTTTAGCCACCATGCTGAGCTGCGTCTCCAAACTACTGCTAAGTTCATCTAGAGTCTATCTCCGAAAGGCCCTTCACACTTGTCCCTTGCTTTCTACTTCCACCAGCACCATGTTAGTTCAAGCCTTCAGTAGTTCTCATCTCAACTATTATACTAATCTCCTAACTGCTCTCTCCAAATTTCTTCCCTTCTCTATCCTATCTATCCCTCCCAATGTGACCAGATGAATTAGCTTAAAGCATGGATATAATTTTATCACTTTTCTGCTTAAAAGTCTTCATTAGTTACTCATTACTTCTGGAACTATAAGTAAACTCTTTACCTTGGCATTCAAAACACTTCACAACATGGCTTGAACTTACCACTCCAACTTTTTCATTTCCCAATGCTTCAATTCCAGTGGATTAATGTGAACAAGCCCCATACTTGCCCACTTGAGTACTTCTGTTCACGCTGCTTCTTCTGCCTACGTATAATGTCTTTGACAACTGCCTCTTCCTAACGCAGTCCTCCACATCTTTGAAGGTCTGTCTTAAATGCCATCTCTCCCACGAAGCCTTTCCCATTCAGATGCATCTCTCTTCCCTTTGCCTTTAGTTCTTCCACAGCATTTATCTTTCTCTATTTTGAATGATGGTTATTTATAATGTTGTCTTATTTTGCTTCCATACTGTAATGTGTCTGAGGGCAACGACTGTGTTTTATACATCCTATCCCTTGTAGTGCCTAATAATAGAAGCTTATACATGGTAAATTTGCAATAAAAATGTGTTAAATGAAATTGAATGTACAAGCTAGTTACATTAATTCTCAACATAAGTGAATGATAAAAAAATGAGAAATATGTTAAAGAAATAAACTGTTTGAAATAAAGTTAATTCTTAAAAATAGGAAGATGCTAAAATACTTGAGGATCTAGTAAATGACAGGTAGAAACTTTACAGAAAAACAGTGTAGAGAATGAAATCTAACCCTTTGTAGTACAGGATGAAAAATGTGTCAAACGTGAATACACACATGCACAGATAAGACTATTGGCTAATGGGGCGTTACCTTGGCAACTGTTTGTTCAGCAATGGTGCTAGGCCGACGCTGGCGGGCATCAAGTCTCTGCTCCACAGGAAAACTGCTCCTATGTGACTTCAGGCGTTCCACCAACAAGAAATAAATGGCAGCAAAGTGGTTATAACTCTTGTTCTGCAAAGACTGAAAGAGAAAACAAGTGCTGAAGGCAGAGAACCATAAAAACCAAGCCAATGATCTACACCTTTCTAAAAAAGAAGGGAAGAAATCATGTGTTCTTAAAAATAGAGTAACAAACAAACTGTGCCTCAAAATGAAAGCTGTTCCAGAATTTAGAATGGAAGACATAATTTCAAGTTTCTAGTATTAATTATATAAAGGATAATGCCTTTAAATGACTTGACTGGCCCTTTTACTTTAACAAGATCCATTTATTTCTCTGCATTCAAAGAAAAAGCCATCATTGTCTCATGCAGACATTCCCCAATGCTGTCCTATGGTCCCATCTCATAGCTGTAACTATGGCATAAGGTCGGTTAGCAACCTGACCCCAGAGGCTCTAATTCCATAGCTTCAACACAAGTCTAAACCATTGCAAAATCTGAAGTGAAGGATTAAAGTCTTTGGGGAAATTTCTGGTGATTATTTTGGGCTGGAGAATGATATTTGGATGCTAGATTGAGAGACACTGTGTCTCTGTTCCTAGGTAATTTTTTCCTCTTGTTTTTGCTGTCCCACCCTCTTGAAACCTTGAAAATAAAGTTGCTTCCCAATTTTCACATCCCTCACCAGCCAGCTTTCCCAGGATACTAACGAAAGAGAGAAACAACTGCTCCTTTGGCTTCTAATTCCACCTGACAGTCTGCATGGGCGCTGTGCAGTGCCCCTCAGACACAGAGCACTCTCAGCAAAAATCACAGGCCAGCAGAACTGCACTCACAGCTGCCATTCTAGATCTACTTCATGAATAAGTACAGAAAAACATCAGTGTGCGCATCATGAGCAAAGCAGGAAAGCCAGTCTGGTTTCACTTAGGTTACAATGAAGGAAAAGGCAGCACAGTTTGGAGCACTTTGTATTCACACGGCGGCATTTTATGTTCTTTCTTGTTATGCTTCCTCCTTAGAAGCACTGTTTGTTTTTTTACCATTGTGGAGGTATTAAAAATATGTATAGCCTATGAATATGCTAACTGTTAAAAGACAAAAATAAAAGTGATGAGGAATTTCCCAGGGTCATGACCTCAGTTCTATGACCCATAATACTTCCAAATCAGGAATCTACCTGTTTTTGCCTTCTCAGTTTCTCCAGTTCACAACCTAAATCCCACCGGCTTTCCTAAACCTGATGCCTACCCTTCTTGTTCCTTGCTCAGTCCTCAGCCCTGTTCTATATCTGCACATTGATGTTCCACATAAACTAGTTTACTACTTGTATACAACTTTATGCTTCCTCTTAGAAGAAACTTTCTACTTTGTAATTAAGCTTCCATCTTTGTCTTTTCTCAATCCTATATAAACCCTTCCTCTTGAACTTTTTGGCAAATGGTGCAAAGGGAGGAATTTATACATTGAATAAAAGCAAACATAAATAGAGTCTGATGTAATCTTGAGGGAAAATGGAACAGTATACTCAGGTGCTGGGATGGCCATGCTAAAAGACCAGGAGGACAGGTGAGAGCATGAAATGTCAAATTACTAAGTACAACAGAATCCTACAGTATCTTTAGTCAAATCTTTGATCACTTTACCTCAATGGTTTTCTGTTGATCTATTCCAAGGCTGTGCATCAATCGCAGAACCTGCTCATTAAACTCCCCAATGGATGGCTCATTTTCTTGCCCTTGTGGATAGAGAACAGGTCTCTGTACAGGAACTTCTACGAGCATCCATTTATGCTCCTTGATTTGAGCTATGGTTAGCCGTTTGGACGGGTCTAGGACCAACATCCTTCGAATAAGGTGCTCACAATCTATGGAAAACACAAAGTTACAAAAGTCACGTAAATCACCTTGCACTTCAGGGTATTTGCTTAACTTATGTGACTTTGTACAATGTTGTTAATCTTTGTATCCTTCACAGTGCCCACTGGAAAGCAGAAGGTCAAATGAATAAATGAATACATGAAGGCTACTTATATTTGTCAAGTACACATGGCGAATGTTGACACACAAAATCAACCATCACCATGAATGACTACTTGAGAAAAACAGGAGGGGGTAGCTTCATCCACTTCTCTACTAAATGAACCCTGCCACTGAATTTCTCAACTGAAAATATCTAGATACAGACTTAGGTTTCCACTAGAGAAACAAACAAGCCCTCTTCCTAGAACATGCAAATAACAAATGGATCCTTAGTCACTTCTGAGACTGATACACTAAGTGAGGCAAGAGCTGTCCAGTGGACTGCTTTTCTCCATATCAGTGCAGCTGAGAAAAATGTACGTGAAACATTAACTTCTGATTACACTAAGAAAACTGCACTGCTGTAACTTTGGGTATTAGCTTATTTTCTGAGCTGACATCATGCTCTTTACTACCCTCACATAAGCTAACCTTCTATCACTCGCTATGTAACAGGAACCATGCTAAGTGCTTTATACAGATTAATTTAATCAATCCTTACAACACCTCTATTAGAAACTACTGTTATTTCCATTTTACAGATTGAGGAAATTGAAGCACAGAGAGGAGATGTAACTTGTCAAGGTTCGACTGTCAGTAAGTAGGGGACTCAGGGTTAAAACCAGGCAGTCTGGTTCCAGAGTCTATGCTCTTAACTCCTAGGGCTTATTTTTACTGTTACTAGGAATAAAACAGTTAAGGATGATAACCAACAACTACACTAAGGGGTAAACTTAACTGCTGCCCATGTAACAACCCAATACAGAGACTGGCAGGGATTATGGCATTTCATCTTAATTCAATAGTTTTGCCAGTTGGTTTTAAATTTAATTAAAAAATTTTATTTTGCAACTTCCCACCAAAGGATATGGGAAAATCCATTTCATACTTAGAGTAAAATGGTTGTGAATCTATCTACAAAGTGCTTCTCTAAGTCTAAAATAAACCCGGGACATTTATAGACTGAGAGTAGATGGGAAGACTTGCTGTTCTTAATCTGGGAAACTTTCTGTTTTCAGTTACAAGTAGGAAGGCTGGAACTTCTCTCACCTACATTGGGGGGGGGCGGTGCTTATTTCTATGGCTTTTAAAGTGACTCAGTCACTTTATTTGGCATCCAAACTCTTAGAAAAAGAGAAGCCTTTGCCTAGACATTTCACTTGGAGACAAATTCTGTAAAGCACATTATAAGATGAACAAGTTGTTACCTTCTGACATGAAATATGGAATCCGGAATCTTCCTTCTAAAACCCTCTGCCTCAAAATTGGAAGAGTTGGTCCATCAAAAGGCAGAGCTCCACAGACAAGAACATAAAGAACAACTCCCATGCTCTAGGGAAGAAAACAATGCAGTCACTTTTCTGCTGAAAACTTCAAACACTTTATTTTCCTAAATATCCCCAGGGCTCTTAAAATCATATGGACTGAAAATTCTTGTTTGAATTTACTATTTTCTCAGAATTTGAAAAAAGACTGAAACCCTAACTACTGCAGTAAAGTATCCTATAATAAATACCAAAAAGGTCTGAATTTAATCATTTTGACTACTACTCAACTTTAATTTATTGCTGATATTAGGATGATAATATCTGCCCCTAGAAATTCTTTCCTAGAATCTAATTCAAGATACTTTGACTAATTACAGTCCAGTGGACAGGGAAAGAATGAAGTACTGCCTGTGTGTTAGGTACCAAGAGCTTCAAAGATGGGCCGGAGTACCAACTACTATCATCATAGATGCATTTAACACAGCAAAGCAAAGAAATACCCAAATATCCAGCTGTGGTCCTTCATACTGCTGCCCTTCAAAGACTTCTGGGGCTGCATAAGGGGGGCTGCCACACCATGTTGCCAGCAGTTCACCACTTTTAAAGAAATTTCCAAAACCGAAATCTATTGGGATGGAAATAAATGTTACTTTCATCTATGCTCTCAAACTATACTGAATTTCTTGTAATAAATTTAATAATATGCTATATTAACAATCACTACTATTTCCTCTGGGAGGAATGGGATGACATCTATCGTGTGATGTTTCCTTAGCACTTAGCACAACGACTAGCAAATATAAAGTATTCACTAAATATTTGCTGAATGAATGTGTAAATGAATCTAGTTTTCCTCTCAAAGAGAATGAGTGAGAGATTGGAAAAAGACTCTAAATAATGAATTTTTAAGGCTGAAAGAAAATCCATTGGTGTGGACAACCAAATTGAATTTGATAATTGTAGAATTTCAATTACTCCAGAATTAAGAGCTCTTGATCTTACATGGTCTATAAGGAAAGAAACAAATGAATAAAACTCTAAGATATGTACCTTAACCCAAGTGAGTGACTGGCTGCTCATTACTCCAGGGCAGCAAGATATATAACCTTTTAAGGCAACTGAGTGCAGTGTTTCCTAAGGAACAACTCTCTAAGTGTTGGCCCATACATCCTGATTTAGGCAGATACCCATCTGAACAGCTCATTAACAGGTGATGGCTATATGGCCCAGCCACAGGCCACCTATCAGCAGTAATTCTTATCTACTCATTTGTGGAATGCAGTGGCATTATACTACAGTACAGTTAATGGCCTTCTTCTTATGATGTTAGTCATACTGAATCTACAGCTTTGATATACAGCATGTACTCTGGAAACACTCTACTCAGATGTCTTCAATAGGCATGAAAATTTCAGAAGACAAATTCAGTGAGCTCTGGTATAAATGCAAGCTTGTGCCCTTTTGCTAAGCCTTCACACCGTCTCATGTTCTAACAGAAGAAACAAATTCCTATTATTTTGTAAATTATGGCCATGCTGTCTTATGTTGTAATACACTCCTGACTGAAGAACACTGCCTTAGTGACAGCAACTGGCTCTACTCCTGGCTGGTGTATGGCACCGCATGGACAGTTAGCTTTAAGACGTGCCCCAGGGGGAGTGGATCAAGTCTCCAGCGCCAGACTGACTGGCCATGTGACTTTGGATCTGTCTTTGTGAGCCTAAGTTTCCCCATCTGTAAAGCTGAAATAATAAATATCTGCAGTGAGCAGGTTGTTGTGGGAACCAATGAGTTAACATAAACTCACACTCTATTCACACCTTGAGATTACAGCACAAATCTGTACTTTAGGCAAAGCCTTCTCTCAGCTTATTGATGTAAAAACTGGTGGCAAGCAGTTGTAACACTAACAAGACTCACAATCCCCAACACCCCAGCCTCACCGCAGAGCACAACCTATGAAGTCAGGGAGAACTAGAGCTGACTTCCAGTTACGCCACTTTCTAGCTTCAAGTCCCCCCGGGTAAATTACTTAACGTTCCTGAACCTTAGTGTCTGTCTCTATAAATGTGGGGATAATCCACCTACCCAGATGGGATGCCGTGAGGATTAAATGAGATTAGGAATGTACAATGCCTGGAGCACAGTAGATGTGAAATGTCAGCTCCCTTCTCCTTCTGCGAAGCCATCATTACCAACTATTGCCTTTCAGAGAAAAAGATACAGGAACAGTAGAAAAAGTGTAGAGGAGCTTAAGGGTTCAGAAGAGAAAACAGGGGGCATGTGGGGAAAAGCACCATCTAAATGTGGTGGAACAACACTGTGGTCTGTCCTTAGCATCCAGGAGCAGAAGGCAATGAGAACTTCTCCCTTCACAATGTGACAGTAGTTCAGTCCCATATTTGGCTTTCCAAAATGAGTGTCAGAGAGGTCTTATCTTCTCAAGTCCACCTCTATGACTAACCACTCACATCACATCATAACCCATATGTCCATATTGATATATGTTTCTCATTTTCTAGAAAAACTATACTCTCAAGTGAGTCAAGGACTAGACGTTCAAATAATATTTAAAGAGGAAAATGTTAATTTACTAACATGGAAAAGCACAAAAAGCTCTGGGATGTGTGTCTTGAGATCCTGAAATAGGTCCAATAATTGCTGTACTTTAAACCATAATCACAGGATGAGTTTTAGCGCGTGTAAATTGAGGATACTCTCCAAATACACTGTAAAGTTTTAACATCTCAAAGAGCCATTATGGAACTCCTTCATTCTGAACTTCCCTGGACTCTGGTGGAATGAACTCAAGGAGTTGCTGGGAGAGAGGCCTGTCAGGAATGCAGCCTGGCCTCCTCACGGCCCTCGGCTCTCTCGCTGGTACACTTCATAGGCAAGACGAGAGCAAGAGCTAGGAAAGCATCTCAGTGCCCATGGTTGCCTAGTCTCAACCTCGGCTCTACACACCTAGGACAGAAAAAGCGTCCTGTTAACTTATAAGAAGAGTGGTACTAAGCAGATGTTTACTTCTATTTCCTAGAGGTAACAGAAGTAACTAGGAACTTGAGCCTGTAGGAACATTAAAAGAAACACTGAAAGACAATCAGGCTCACTAACGCTGTCATAGTGGCATATACACAGATGTCTTCTATAACCTTGTCAAAGCACTTAAACATTGTATTCGTAATCATCTGATGTATGGGTTAAAGAAGACTTTGGAGTCAGGCAAATTTGGGATCAAATCCTGGGTTTTCCACTTAGCTGTGTGATCTTTGGCAAATTACTTAACTTCTCAGAGCCTTGGTTTCCTCATTTGCAAAATGGGGATAATATCAACACTTCATCAAGTTATTGTGGGTAACTTATACCCCCAATAAGCAAGTATACGCAGATAAGTACACTTACATTAGAAGTAGATAACATATAATACTTTAGGCATGCAACTGAAATATAGCAGGTGCTCAATAAACAGCAGTTATCGAGTAGCTACTCAACAGAATAGAAGAAGAAGAGCAACTCTTCTCCTTATTGTTTTACTTATGTCTTCCCCATCAGATTAAATTCCTTGAGAGTAGTAGAGAAGGGGGAAATGATATATGTCTGTACTCTCAGCACTCAGCACACTGTCTGTAGATAGCAGCTGTTCAATAAAGGTTTGCTGAATGAATATGTTGTCATCATCTCTTTTAAAAGTGCTTACTATGTGCCAGAAGCTGATCCAAGCTCTCTGAAGATGATTTCTTCTTAATAACCCTATAAAGTATCGTTATTTTAGGAGAAAGTTTGGGCAGACAGTTAAGTATCTTCCTAGAGGTTATACTAAAGTTGCAGAACTGGAACAGAAACAAAGTCTGACTACGGAGCCCTCACTGTTAACCACCACCTTTATGCCCTTGCCTGGCACAGTGACAGAGCAAGTTAATAACTGTCAGGTTAAGAAGTGGCAATGGAAAGGCACTTAAAAATAAAAGCCTTTTTATTTCTTCACAGGAACCTGGATAATTTGCTTTATTCACAGTCTGCAGCTTTCTGCCTAAAAGTATATAGTAAAATGAGGAGTGAGCAAGAGGGATGATATTTGAAAATGGCATAGCTATGCAGGATATGTTTCTTATCACCATTTATTCAAATGGGATGGATTAATGTTTCATCACACCAACCAAATTCATTCATTCCTTCATTAAACATTTGAGAGCATACATATGTCAACCACTGTGCAAACACAGAAGAGAAGCTCACACCACAGAGAATAATAAAAGACTCCACATTATCCTATGACTTTTGGAAAGCATTATGAAAACAACCACTTGGGCATTCCTCTTTTATGCTAGACCCAGATCCATCCTGGCCTTGCTAGACAGGAAACATCCTTCTAGTTGAACGTCTCCTCCAGTGCTCTGATCTGCGAGTTAATATCTAAAATGATGGCTGCTATATCCCTCAGACGTTTTGCTTCCTGTTTCTCTGTCATAAAACTTATGCCATGTAATGTTGGATTCACTTTGATATTATTTAACTGTTAATTTTGAAATAATTTTAGACTTACAGAAGAGTTGCAACAATAAAGGAAAATTCCCTATGCGCTTCATGCCATTTCCCCTAAATGTTAACATTTTACATAACTATATTAGTAAAATTATCTAAACTAAGAAAGTAACATTGATTCAATACTATTAACTAAACCATGGACTTTATTAGGATTTCACCAGTTTTTTCACTAATATTCCTTTTCAGTTCAGGACTCCACAATGCATTTGGTTGTCAAGCCTTCTTAGTCTTCTCCAGTTTGTAACAGTTTCCCAGTCTTTCCTTGTCTTTCATGACCACCAACACTACAGATCAGGTATTTTGTAGACTCTCCTCCAGTTTGGATTTGCCTGATGGTTTCTCATGATTATATTAAGATGATGAACTGTAGGGAAGAACAGCACAGAGGTGAAGCGCTCTTCTCGGTGCATCCTATCAGGGGTGCATGGTGTTATGTCTAATTACTGGTGGGGTTAACCTTGATCTTTTGATTAAGGTGGTGTCTGCTGGGTTTCCCCAATGTAAAGTCACTCTTTTTCTCTTTGTAGTTAATAAATTTTTTAGAGAAGATACATTGAGACTGTATATATCCCATTTCTCCTTCAACTTTCACCCGCCAATTTAGCATTCATTGGTAGATCCTGATTGCAGTAATAATTACTGTGGAGATCTAATGGTGAGTTTTCATTTCCTTCATTTCTTCTACACTAATTAATTATAATTCTTCTTTAAGGAAAAGCTGCCCCTTCTTCCCCTTTTATTAAATAATTTATTTAATATCATCATATTATATTTGCCATGAATATTTATCTTATTCTTTGGGTTATAATTCAATACTATTGCTATTATTTTGATGCTCAAATAGTTCCAGCTTTGGCCATTAGGAGCTAATTCAGGCTGGCTCCTGTATCCTTTCAACATGCCCCCATATTTTAAAAATTTCACTTTGAGTATTTCCTTGTCTTCTGGCACCAGAAGATGTTCCAGGCTCATCTTGTGTTTTCCCTGCCCCAGCCCTGAAATCAACTGTTTTTCCAAGGAGCTCTGGTTCCTTTTACAGAGAAATAGTATTTAGAAACCAAGACTAGGACCTAGATG